CCACCCCACCCCCACCCCACCCATACAAAGTATTCATTGAAAATGTCAAATTAATTGTTTGTGCAAAATAAAGAACATCAATGCAGGCACGGAGCAACGCTTGTTGCCCTTTTTTGGCGAGCCTGTACGACCGGAAGAAAGAAAGTTTGCACTGCTCGGCTGATCACTGCGGGATGGTCTGAGAGTGCCCGCTATGACCAGCTATGGTCCATTTATTGTTTTCAGTTGACTGGGGTGAAGCGGACCTATTGTTTAATTGTTCAGGTGTTTCACACGGACAACTTACCTGAGTTCTCACCTTATAAAATCCATTAACGGCAGAAAAAAATATCATAATAAGGGGAGTCCCACCTTTGACCATATCATAATAAACATTTTTTTTGCGTAGTTAAAGAAGGAAAAAATCGGTACTTGGGAAAACTATAAGAACCGATATATCATAATATAACCGATATAATAATAAGTGTGTTCCACTGTACCACAATATGACACGTTGAGACGGGCATATAAAAACAATGAGATAGATTTGTATTACACGTTGATGATTATATATTATTCTATTATTCTATTTAGATTTAACATTTTCAACTTGATTTTTTTGTAACTCAAAATATAACCTTTAATATTAAGGATATCATTTTAATAACTACATACTTGATTAGACTGTCTTCCCAATGAGGTTATCTGAAATCAATGACTTTGACCTTTTGAGATCAGTGTCCTTGACCTTTGAAGAACAGTGAAACTTGAATTACCTCTTGGTCCAGGAGGCGTTTTTCCTCATCCAGCCTCTCTATTTCCTCCAGTCTCCACTTCAGTTTCATTTGACGGATATTTTTCTTCTGACGTTTTATCTAAAGATAAAGACGAAGATGTTATTGTTATAAATTACCACTTTCTTTTTATAGAAAAGCTGTGTCATGGAATTGCATTGAGTGTACATGCATAAATTCAGACTTAGAATGAAAATAAACTCCCCTGTTTAATTATTTCTTATGAATAGGTCACTTTAAGCAGAAATAGCTCACAGTAAAACCATCTTTGACATTGAGGGTATACCAAAGAGATTGCATTTGGGACAGAAAAGGTTTTTTGTTTGGAGTAAAAGATGTTCTTCGTGGGAGACAAAGAAATGGTTTTTGGGAGATAAAAAGAATGGTGTTTGTTAGAAAAAAAGGAGTAGAGAAAGCAACATACCTCATCCATTGCAGAGTTGAAATCCTGGGGCACCAAGAGGGTATCATCGTCAAGGCCAACCAGCATGGGATCTGACCGACTCCGTCTGTATTTAACAATAACTTATCTTTAACTTCATCATATTGTGGACATTTTTTTTTTTTAAAAGCTCTAGCTAACAAATGTTATGGTGGTTTTTTTTATATCTTAATCTAGCTCCTTCAAAATGCAATAATTTATGAAAAATATGTGCATTTCTATATCAACAATATTGGGGTAAATCTGCTGTTACATGGAAGACAGCTCACCTTAGAAGGGGGAAGACTGGTTCATATTCCTCCTCTGTGAGTTCCACAACCCCACTCTGTGGAGGAGGGGGACCTATGGGGGTCGACTCTCGACTCAATTCTTCTGTAAACAAAACCATATACATAAAAAGGTTTCTACTGATACAAATCCTCCACTTCATAATGGGTTGTGAGTTGAAGAGCCAGATTTTAGGTAAACGTATACAGTTATACAACATATCAATGCTTCTATGGTAATTTTAAGATTTAATCAAAGTACTGAAAGTACTGAAAGCTAAGGCAAAAGTTATACTAAGATATATATATTATTTTTGGAAAGGGGAACAAAATAAAGACGAAGTTCCCATCATATTGTACAGAAGGATTAACTGTTAATTTTGTTATAAATCATAGTTTTATGTAAAAGTTTACCACTGTGAAGTTATTTTTCTTATGTGTCCAGTATATCTTTATATGCTTGTCAGAAGAGGGGTACCAAGTGTTCTCTAGAATATATTATTTTAGGCCTTTTAGATAATTCATTTGCATAGGAGTTGCTTCCCTCTGTCCATATTTCAAACGTCAAAAACTGAAATTGGCTTTAAACCATTAAATAGATTATGCACAGATTGTGTTCATCTTTAAACTTTGCCTTTGTTGTTGAATAAGATATCAACCAAGTTTCATCAGAATCTGGCCTTCTCTGACAAAGTTAATTGGCAAAAACCATTGACCAATCTGAGCACAGTATGCTAATTAATTATGCATGGTTTTCACTCAACTTTGAACTTATCATCGAAGTTTGTATATTGATCAAAACATATTCAAGCAAATTATCTTGTAAAGTGTGGACATTGACCAGGGTATGCATGCTTTTTAATATGCGTGAATTATGTTCAAGTTTCAATTTTGTATCAGTCTGTGTATATTGTTTATACACAAACCCAAGTTTCAATAAAACTGAACAATATTTAAGGATATTAACTTGTTGAAACCAAATTGTGGACAGACTAGTGGATGACTGTTTTCCATACAATGTACCTTTACAAGTCTGTCAAAATTTTTGAAAAGCCTTTAAAAACAGTGTTTCACATATTCACTGCAGTGAAAAGGTCTCTACTTATGAAAAATGGAATTATTTTGCATCAGTATTTACTGAACAAATAAGATAAAAAGCACTCTAATACAATATAATACATTGTTGTATGTTTCAATATTGAATAAGATAACCAAAATATAATAGAGTTACACTATTTTCCCTCTATTTCCATTGCATAAATTCTTCACAAAAAGAAATGTATAGCATATGTTTAGCTTTATCGTTGTCGTCATAGGCTAGCATTTGAAATAAGATGCACATATCAATTTCAAATATATTTTAAAAGAGTACTGCAAATGTACCATCTAGAGCACATACTATGTTATTACAGTTGTCATTATTGTTGGTTTTGATACCATTGTGCAACAAATGTTGACAACAAGACTTATTGAAAGTTGAGCTTGCATGTGTATTTGTTTGTAGTGCATGATTAGATGTTCAGAATGATGGAGCAAGTTTTATACATTTTGTTTGAATACTTAGTTAGGAAAGCACCGACAATTACCCTGTCACATGTACAGGTTGTGTAGCTGTAGCCTTCACCTTGAATGTATGAACTTGACCTTAAAACTGTCTTGAACAATTGATGTATGAAATTTAGGAATGAACTTTCAAGAAATATAGTTGAAAACTTAAGAAACAATTGCTTTCATTGACATAGCCAAGATTACATCTTGTGTGGGATTCCTCTCATATATATCACACAAGATTTGATATCAAAAGTTGGACACGGTAAAATCGAGTGAAATTAACAAATATCAAGTTACACATTATAACTTCATTTTATTTTATTGATATTGAGCATAAGCATTGATAAAAGTACAATTTATAACAAGGATGTTACATTTCTTTTACTGCTTAACATTTGCGTTGACTTTTAATTTGACTGGACAAAAACTAGTAGGAACCCATGACCAGTATTTCTATCTTTTAAAAAGATATTTTCAATGTTTTTCAAATTTGCTCCCAGCACCCATAGTGTTATATTGATCAAAACAAACGTAGATTCCAACATTAGTGCCTTTAGTCAGTAGGGGCTGTTCAATCACACTCATCAGGCTTTCAGCATCAATAATCACAGATCCAATCTGTTCCACTCCCAAGTAAGGATCACCATCTTCTCCATTTTGCAAGGAAAGTATTTGAACTATTCGCTGTTGGAAGGATCTGTGGACTCGGCTGTCATGAGCCTGAGAGAAAATGATTTAGTCAGAGGTTCCTACTATATACGGTAACTGATAGACTTAAACATGTCATGTCACTCTTGGTACAGTTCTTGCAGCCTTTTGAAAAAGCTCATGAAGTCCTCAAAGGTATGAGAGAAGGGGTTCAGTTCCTATTTTTCATCCTCCTTCCTCCCATCAATAACCATCCATGTCTGTTGTAATGTTGATTGCTTTTCCCCTAAAATAGAAGATAGTCACCAAATAATTTCTGCACCAGCGATAATAATGTTTAGAGACAATATTCAAAAGAAATAGGAGGCATAGCAGTATGATGAGCTTGTACAGTGAGAAATAAGGCATTACAGCTTAGGAATTCATTAAAATGGTTCACAAACATTTCAGTAAGTCAATCTCTTTGGTAGCAGAACTAAATATAAACAAAATGTACATAAAAGTCAACTTATAACACCACATCTCATGGGGGCTTAAGACACCTTAACTGGTTTCTTAGATGGTAAAACATGTGTACATAAAAAAGGTAAAAAACAAAACAACATTATCTCTCTTTTTATATATTAGCCTTCGAATTGAAAAGCCTGATAAAGTTGAAACAGTACTCTTGTGGAAAAAGAAGGAAATATTTTCTTGAATCACAGTAAAAAAAAGAGGACAGTTTAAACACACACACCTAGATATTCACAGTTTTCATTAATACAAAAGATGAAGCAGTACATCACTCTCCCCTTGTTGTTTCCAGAAAAAATAAATTAACCAGGAAACATGGAGATGTCCATTGCACTCCTTTGTTTTGCTTACAGTGTGCAAATGTGCCTACTATGAGCTTATAAGCTTTCCATGTGATGGTTTTGTTTTTTATGTGCTGTACCCAAACGTGCTTAATGTGCTTAAATTACCAAGTGCTGATGTGCTTACCGTGTGCAATGTGCCTATCATGTGCAAAATGCAAAATGCTTATTGCAAAATTGACATAAAATAAATATTGTTGTATCTTGTAAGTTAAGGATTTTAACTGTAGTTTTTTTGAATATATGACTATATAACTTTTCCCCAGTATGAGATTTTTTTACACCTTTTGTCATAATCCAAGTTATGTTCAGATTTCAGACAGAAGATACTTTAAAATTGTACAACTCAGAAAAGGTTATTTTTTTTATTATATTTCCATTTTTTCTGCAAAGAATTATTCTATCTCTCAAGTTATAAGTGATTCCTGTGTGACCTAGTAATGATCATTAAATAAGGCCAATTAAAACAAATATTGTGTTTCTGCTAACCCCACAGATACTGGACACACTTATAGTAATATGGTGTGTATAAACTATCACACATTGCTTATTGGTGTGTCTGGCACCTGTGGCTAACCCGACTTTGTTTATAACATGTTTTTTTCCAACTGAATCAGAAGAAATGTAAGGCCAAATATCCTCACAAACAATGTAAAATCAGTTCACAACTGAGCCTAGTTCGAAAATTTTTTCCGGAGCACCTTGTGACGCTGTTATTCACTAGTGTAAAAAGTCCATTCATTTTGTTTGTTTTTGCATAATCACTGCTATACATACCGTTGAAGCACCTTCCTTTTTGTCATCGCCGCTGACATGCTTGGCCACAAATCACCGAAATCGGGATCCAGATCCTTATTTATGAATCAGTTGTATGTAAACGTTGCCGAAATGTATGCATATTGTTCGATGTCAATGCTGCTTAAACAACCTGCCTTACATCATAAAGACAACACTCGCCTGCATTTTCGTCTTTTCCACTGCGCGTTGCGAACAATATCTAGGCCTAACACAAAATTAAAGTAAAATGTGCGCATGTCTAAGGCTTAATGTAAGGGAGATCACTCGTCTTCTTCCCGTAGTACATGTCTGAAATCATTCCGAAGGCGAAATAGATTTATCTTCATCAAGTATTCAGTTGTTGTTGTTATTGTGTATAATGAAAAAGATCATTAGATTAAAAAATCACTCGGGCTGATATCGGGACTCTCGGTCTGATAAGGGATATGATATCAAAATGGTCATATAATAACCTCTAAATATTTTATAAATAGCAAATAAGTTAATAGCTTACAGTTAAGTTCTTAATAATTACAAACTTAGTTTAGAAACAACTTTGGACGAAACAACTCGGGGGCTGGAACGACCTGTAAACTAGCATATAGGTAGGTCGTACATCTAAATATGGGTGTCATGACCAAATATGGAAATTGTAGTAAACATGACGGCTTCAGTAGTAATACTATATTTGGCCATATAAGGAAACGGATAATTGAAATAACATCACACGTGATCTAACATGGCGGTCGTTTCTATTGTAAGAGTTTTTAGAAAGGACTTGTTATTTCAACGAATATGTAATATTTTGATAACATTATACTCATATGAGGTGTGAATCTTATATATTATTACAGATTAGCACTTTTGATTTTGCTCAGTTAGTTGGAACAGAACCGCTTCATAGCTCTGACCAGAGATGTATTATACGTCTCTGCTCTGAACACACAATATATAAATGTAGGCCGGACGTAAATGCAAGAGTCACACATTTTAGCCAATCAGAGGACAGTATTTCCGTGTAACCGCTTAATCTAGCGACAGTTCCAAGAGTAAATATAGAGTGTATTTTTCATAAGAATACGAAGCTGTAGAAGGATACTCAGTTCTAACTAAGAATACGATTATATCTAATTACTTAAGAGTTAACTTGACTCCGTGGTAATGGATTTTATTTGCAGTTTGCTTAGTATTACTGGTAAATGACGTATGTCTTGTTTATGAATATCTGAGCTCATTAACTGAATTATTTTACAGGAAGTTGCGTGAGGCATGCATGACCTAGTCTACTTGCACTTCCCGATTGAAATAAACAGGGGGCATTTTCAAGACCAATACGACGTTGTAATATGATCGCATGTTCTAACAAGGAAATGAATTATATTTACAAGCCATTCACTTGAATTTGAGTCCAAAGTAGTGCATAATAAAGACAGTAGGTCCGGCATATGATTCAATTTAGTACCATCTGCTGTCACTAGAGGGGGCATAGGTGGAGATGACATTTATGAATATCTTGAGCTCATTACTGAAGTAATACCAATAGCTTGTGGCTAACGAATTAGCTAAAAAAAGTCTGAAGCTGGACAAACTAATGACCAGTTTTCTCTCTTTCGAACCACAATAATAATAACAAAAGGCCCAGAGGGCTTGTATCCCTAACCTAGATAATTAAGCAAACATGGGAGAATATTCTCATTAAATATAATACTGCAATTATTTCTAAATATTAGCTCTATCTTAGCAACTTCAGTTCTTCATTAAGTCCATTCTTTCTGCCCCATAGTTTTTTATTTTCTTTCAACATTAACATAAACTTCCCCTATTGGGCCCTGCCTCTCTGCCCAAGGGGGTCACACCCTTAATTTATACAAAATTGAGTCCCCATTAACCAAGGGTGCTCTGGACCAAATTTGTTTACAATCCCTAAAATTATAAGGATTTGTATTACTGTATTCCCCCATGAGGCCCAACCCTTCTGCCCAACGGAGGCCATACCCTCTGTTTATGCATAATTGAATCTCCTTTGTCCAAGGATGCTCTGGACCAAAGGACTATGTATGGTTTGGGCCTGTTTTGGCCCCCAAATGCATCAAAATTCGAAACCTTTAAATGAACTTTGAAATGACTGTTTCTTTAATTTCGAATATCTCCTAAATACTATTATGAAAACATTTATTTATATTTCCAATTATTGTTGCCATGGTAACAAGTTCAAATTTGCATAAATTAGAAAAAATTGAATATTCAGTAAATATTGAGATATTTTGCATAGTTTTTCTCCTAGAAACTATAGAGCGCATGCTGGAACAAACTAATCAATATCAAAGGATAATGTGTAGGCATCTGTTATACATCTAAAGGAGAAATATAAAGTTTGTTCAAGAGTGCGCTCTATGGTAGCTAAGAGAAAAACTAGGTGAAAACCTATCAAAATTGACTGAATAATCAAATTTTAATAATTTATGCAAATATGACCTGGTTACCATGGCAGCCAAAATTGAAAACACAAACAAATATTTACATAATAGCACTGGGGAAGTATTCAAAATTAAAGAAACATTTGTTTGAAAGTTCTATTGCAGATTTTTAATTTTGATGGATTTGGGGGCCAAAAAAGGCCCAAACTATACATAGTCTAGTTAAAACCCTTCCAATCAAGCTAAAGAAGAAGGATTTTAACTATTCACCTCAATTTCCCCTATTGCCCGGAGGGGGACCATCCTCCATTTACACAAAATTGAGTCCCCTTTGCCGAAAGATGTTCCAAGCCAAATTAATCAAAATCCAATGAGCCATTCTGGACAAGTAGCGTTTTAAAGGAAAAGGTTGATGAAGGGACAGACGCCATGCCACATTATAAGCTCATCGGTCCCTTGGACCAAGTGAGCTCAAAACAGGTATAACCCTTTCTTAAAGGATTTTCCATGGATTTATGTGAGCACTTATCTTCACTGACAACAAGTGATCCCAAATGGATCTTGGTGCCCACCATATTATCATCTCCATTAATTCTATGTCAGTCCAATCTTTTTTTTTGCATAAACGGAGGTCGTGGGTGCTGAGGGGCGGGCCCCAAGAGGGGAATTTGAGGTTTAAACTTGTAAAATCCTTCTTCTTCTTCTGTACCAATGGAGTTATTTTAACCAAATTTGGCCTGGGGCATCCTTGGGCAAAGGGGACTCAATTTTATATAAACGGAGGGTATTGCTCCATGCCAAATTATTGCAAAGAGATCCTTTTCAAACTTTTTTTTCCCAATTTGGGAATTCTCCCTTCACTATAGAAGCAACAAGCAGTTTTTCCTCAGAGTTATTTCTCTTGTCAATGTTTTCATCTCTCATTTTGATGCTTTACTTTGATAAGTCCTGATAGCAACATCAGTAGAGGATCAGATGTTGATAGGTTCCGAATTGGACTTGTTGCAGTTTCTTTCTTTCTTTATGTTAAATTTGATTGTTTGGAATTATGCATAACAAGATATGATCTATATAAAAACTTCTGAAGGAAATGACTCAAATAAAATAACTCAACAAATATTTTGTAAAAGTGAGAATGGTAATATTATATTTCAAATTATTGTTACCCTTTATGTTAATGCCATTGTGAAGTCCTTAAGTATGAATGTGGAATTTGAGAAATCATTTAAGCTGAACACCATTATAAAAAAATAGTTTTCTATCATATGGTCTCCATCCTTTATACCAAACATCATATGTGACTTGCCTGGTTTTCCATCGTCTACAGGAGCCTCTCCTTTCAAAAGTTTCCTTTTTTCATATGGGTTGACTTTCCCTGCCTTCACATTTTCCTGGTATTCAGCTTTGGCTTTGTCAAGTTGTGTTAGATCTTGAAATGACAAGCTCTTGTCGTGGATGACTCTGTATGGTGGACAATAGGAAACATCAATGAATGTTTTCATTCAGACTTATCAAATGTTTTTCTTAATGATCATTGCTTCATGACAGACAAAACACTACTGATTATTTTGGATCAATAGGGTTTCTGATCAGGTAAAAGCAATTGAGAATCATTGTCTCATCTCCCAAATGATGCTAGTCTTACTGGGGTTTACTTCCCAGTAGATACTAGTATCTATGCCACTGGGTAGACTGAAGCCATCCAGGTCTTGTGGTAGCTAACTAGCAATACTTGACAACACACTCTTCTGTTTCCCATGAACAGGGCTTTTTCTGTGATATGCTAAATCACATAAGTTCTATAAAACCCTTCCCATCAGGACTTTTTACCTATAGTTTGAACAATGTTCATATTACGATTTCTAAGTTCACACACTGCAAAATCAATGTAGACAAGTTTGTATGACAAGATTAACTCCCTTACTTGAAACTCTCCTGCAAATCCTGTCCTGCTTCTGTGACATCATCCTCTTCCTCTTCTTCCTCGCTTTCCTCATACTCCTCCTGCTGAGTAGAGGACCGCTCACGAATATCCTGTCCCAAAATAACGGAAGGCTGGTATTCCGGGAAAAGGACTTCCTTCACCTTGACTGGTGGAACATCAAGTTTGGGAGGAGCAGGCATCCAATACAAACGTGATTCGTCCGACTTCAGAATTATCTGTGCACCTTCTACTGTGATGTCATCCTGCTCAAACTGTGGAAGATAAAAGGTAGGAGGAACTAGTAACATAAACATAATTTTATATATCATCAGTTTGAAATTAAACTGAGTAATAGGATCCCTTTCATGATGAACAATAAAAAACCTTCAGTAGACCATTTTTGATAGGGTTAAAAATAACTGCTTATCATCAAACATTTTAATATTTCCTATGATCATTGTAGGAAAGTCTGTAAAGACTAGAAAATGTTTGTAATCCTTGGTACTATGGTTGACATATAAATAGTTACAGTTACCTTAGCATTGACCTTTGGAAACAAAATACAAACTCATATTTGACCTTTGTAAAAACTTTGAAACTTTGATAAGAAATTGCTAAGAAATGCAGTTGGTATAGAGTCATGACATCATGACAATGCATTGTAAGGGGAGAGAAGGGGCACAATTAACCCTATACACCCCCCCCCCCCCCCCCCCCCCCCCCCACCATGTATCGACTCATGATCACCTTGTTCTCTGTAGACTTGTAAATAAAAGCATCCACTTGCCATTTGCTCTTTAGACTGTGTAAAATATTGACTCACTAAACTCCGTCGAGTCTGTATTAGTATTATTTTTATATAATTTTATTTTTTGAAACATTTTCAGCATTACAGAATAATTACAATATTAATTTTTACACTCATTTTCATTCTTCAACCAACATTTAATACAAATTTTGTAATTTTTTTTTTTAGAGAGAATGAGAGAANATTCTTCAATTAACATTTAATACAAATTTTGTTATGTTTTTTTTCAGAGAGAGCGAGAGAGAGAGGGTGGGGTGGGGAGGGAAGGAGCAAAAGAGCTTTTACAGAAATAGAAAAAGACAAAAAGCGGTCAAAGTGGTAAAGATGTTGAGTCCATGTGTGTCCATTTATTAGTGCAACTATTCATTTAACCTGAAACATAATATTAATTTTAATTTCAACAGTAAAGTGGCAGGGAGTTACATTTCTCTCTTTTAATCAAAATTTAACTAACAGAGGTAAAATATACACATATATTCTATCCTTTTTGGGTTTGTCAGGGATTGGGAGTGATTTCTAATAATTTATTCCATTTCTTCCAAGAATTTCCATTTTTAAAGCAGTATCCACTCCTTTGCCTATAGAAATATATTTTTGAATTCTGTAGTGATCTATAATAGCATTTTTTAAAGCATGAATTGATAGTTTGTTGCAAGCATCTTGATCTATAGATATACTGTTTCATTATTAGTAGTATAAGGTTATCAGTTGTATAGTAAGTACTTTTATAGTTATGCATGCCAAAAATGAAAGTTTCCTTATTAAAAGTAAATGGAATAAATAATGAGTCTAATAAAAATTCAAAGTTCTGAAAAAATTACTGTACTTTTTCACACTCGCATCCCATATGAACTATCGTTACTATTTCTGTTTTTCAAAAAAAGTAGTATGGAGTTTCTACCAATCCTATCTTAAATATATGCGAATTGGTTGTTAAAATGTGATGATTTATTCTGTATTGTAACCAGTGTAACTTAGAATTTTTTGAAACTTGAAAGGGTGTTTTATATATACAATTCCATGTTTCATCATCTAGATTAAATATTTCATTCCACTTTATTTTACCTGTTGCTGTGATATTATATTTTGTAGAAGTCCTTTGACCCTTTGATATTTAAAAAAAAAAAATCTCAAGATTAAGTGGAATAAAAGGATAACTAACAACATCATTAACTATTTCCTTATGCCTCAGATATTTCCTTACTGCTCGAACTATTCCTTCAAAGGTAAGGAAATTAGTTCTTAAGTCATATTTCTCCATAAATTCCTGATAATTATAACAAGAGGCCCATGGGCCTAAACGGTCACCTGAGTCTACAGTATTTATTTTTGTTGTTGAAATATGTACCAATTTGAGTAAAAAATAGTATAATGTTAACTTAACTTTGTCAGGACCATGAGCTGATCATTCCTAGACCAATTTTAAGTGAGATCGGCCTATTAGAACTTAGTAGCAAAATAGCGGCCATGGCAGCCAAATTGTATTTCTGATTGACCCGAAAAATAACAACACTTTGTCAGGACCATGAGGCGATCATTCCTACCAACTTTCAGTTCAATCGGCCCAGCAGAACTTGACTTTAAGTTTGAAATGTAAAATGTTAACGGACGACGGACGACGGACGACGACGGACACCTTTTGGGCCTTAGGTCACCTGAGCTAAAGCTCAGGTGACCTAAAAAGTACATGTTTTCGGGTCTTTTATTATATCATTGATAGTAATTACTCCCTTCTTATACCATTCTTTATAAAATACAGTTTTTTTTCTATTGTTAAAAATGTACTATGCCAAATAGGTGTTTTCAGTATTGTCCTATTCCCATTTATCAAATTTTCTTCCTTATTATGGAGGGTTTTCCAAGAGTTTAGAACATCTTTCCAAAATGGATTCTTGCATTTTTTTTCACAAATATATAAGTATTCTGATTCACAGTCATTTATTAGATTTAGAAAGTAATCTCCTGGTCCATGTTAGTTTTAATGCCTTAATGAAAGTATGAATATGTATCATCTTGAGCCCCCCTTCTGCATAGTCTTTTATGATAATACCCCTTCTTACTTTGTCAATTTTTCCACCCCAAAGAAAATTATACAGTTCTGAATTTAGTTTTTTAATGAAGTGTTCATCTGGATTTGGTAAGGATATAAAAAGATGATTAAATTGTGAGATAAGCAAAGACTTAATAATGTGAATTCTCCCAATTGGAGTAAGTATTCTCCTATTCCAGTTTCTTAAGATTAACTTAAGTTTTTCCATTTTTTTATCATAATTCAGATTTGGTATTTTATGTAAATCAATGTGAAAATCAATCCCTAATACAGTAAACTTATGGGTCGCCCAATGCAAGTTCCACTCTGGAAAAAAAGTTTCCTCACAGTATTTTTTGCTTCCTATCCAAATTACTTCAGTTTTAGTTGTGTTTATTTTCAATCCTGAAATTTTGGCAAATGTGTCTAATTCCCCTAATGTCTCTCTTAAAGAGTTTTTTGATCCGTCAAGAATAACTGAAGTATCATCAGCATATTGAGATAGTAATATTGGTGTGTTTTCTATATTTATTCCTTTAATACTATTAATATTTCTAATTCTGATACCTACCTGTAAAATAACTACTTACCACATTCTCTGCACGTTGTTTCCAGATCATGAAGGAATCTTCCCTTGAAGTTGTCATATCATCGTCAGCCTCCATCAAAACCCGTCTGGCAGCTGACACAAGTCTGTCCTGCTCTGTTTCTCGTTCGACGTCTGAAGCCTTTGACAGCTGTGAAGCTGTTTCCTCCTCTATAGTCTCCTCCTGACTTGGACCTGAGCTTCCAAACTATCATGAAAATACAATATTGTCTTCAGAGCAAATTATCATTATTCTTTTTAGTTTCCAATTTTTTGAAGAAAATACCTAAAAGCAACTAAATTGAGGTTTTTGAAGTAAAGNAAGACAAGGCATGAATCTCACTCCTCCTTCGACCTGAGGCCAGGGCAACAAGGAATACCACCTTGTAAGTAACAAACTTCAAGGAGGCAGACGCTAAAGGCTCATAAGGTGCCCGCATCAGCGATTCGAGCACCAGTGGCAAATTCCACTGCGGAGCCAACTGCCGGACCCTAGGCCTGTCCAACCCAAACCCCCTAATCAAGGCAGAAAGAGAGGAGGACGAGCCTACCTCCGACCTACCATGAACAGAGAGAACACTAGCAATGGCCGTGCGATAACCAGCGATAGTGCCAGGGGCAAGATTGCGGTCCCTAAACAGCCAAAGAAGGAAGTCCGCAATCACCTGGACAGTAGCCTTGATCGGATCAACCTTCCTGCCGACACACCAATCACAGTAAATCTTCCATCGTGACTGGTAGACGGCAGATGAGGAAGCCCTAATTGATCGAGCGATGCGATCTGACACGTCCCTAGAAAAGCCCGCCTGAGCGAGGCCTCCTGAGATAGCTTCCACGCGTGAAGGTGGAGGATCTCCGGACGAGAGTGCATCGTCCTGGAACGAGGCTGGCGAAGGAGGTTCGCTCTGAGAGGAAGAGCCAGGGGCTCTTCCACCAGAAGCGACAAAAGCTCCGGAAACCAAGGCTGCCTCGGCCACAGGGGCGCTATCAGGAGGAGGGAACACTGATGCTCCCGAAACTTCTGCAGCACCCTGCCCACCATGTTGAAGGGTGGGAATGCATATGCATGCATTCCCTCCCAATCCAGAGACAGAGCGTCCACGGCCCAAGCCCTTGGATCTGGTACCGGAGAGACAAACGTTGGCAACTGATTGTTCAGTGAAGTGGCGAACAGGTCTATGTGAGGCCTGTCCCACACCTGACAAATTCCCACGAAAATCGAGGGATTCAGTTGCCACTCTGTCAAAACCGGCTGGCGGCGCCTGGAAAGAGTATCCGCCAGAACATTCAACCTGCCTGGTAGATGCTTGACACAAATTGTCAACTGCATTTCCTGACATAGAAGCAGAATGCGGATAGCGAGGGCACACAGGGTGTGAGACCTGGTTCCCCCCTGTCTCTCCAGATACGCGACAACCGTAGTGTTGTCCGTAGCCACACAAACCACCTTGGAATGCAGGATCTCCCGAAAAGACTGCAGAGCCAACAGAACAGCCCTCATCTCGAGCACATTGCTGTGCTCCGAGAGCTGTTCCCCAGACCACTCCCCCGACTGGCAACGCCCGTCGAGATAAGCTCCCCACCCTGTCATGGATGCATCCGTGTACAGGGTCATAGTGGGAACTGGCTTGGACAAAGGAACCCCTCGGAGAACATTGTCCTGATGAGTCCAACAGCGTGCATACTCCTTGACCGACTGGTTCAGAGGAAGCAAGACTTCCCAATCCCTTGAAGAAGGGACCCAGTTGGCAAGGAGAAACATCAGGAGAGGCCTGATGTGAAGTCTCCCTAAGGGGACCACATCGGCCAGGGCGTTGAGATATCCCAGAAAATGAGAAACCAACATACCTTGACTTGAGACCGGCCGATGAAGGTCAGAGCAAAAGCCCTGGCCTTCTCGAACTTCTCCATCGGTGGAAGGGCGATGCCCTGAACCGTATTGAAACGGTTCCCCAGAAAAACAAAATCCTGAGATGGGGGAACCTCCGACTTTTCTCTGGAAGGAATGAAGCCGACCTTGAGTAAGAGTTTCAGAACCAACCGGGTGACCTGCACCAGAGACTCTCTCACTAGGTGGAGCATGAGGGAGTCGTCGAAATAGATGTGAACATCTATTCCTTGAGAGTGCAGGAATCCCACGACCAGCTGCAGCAGCTTGGTGAAAACCAAAGGTGCAGTCGTGAGCCCGAACGGCATGGCCCGGAACTGGAAGACCTTTCCGTTGCAAGTAAAACGGAGGTACTTCCGTGCTGACTTCTTGATGGGGATGTGGATCTAGGCGTCCTTTAGATCTACTGAAGTCGCCCACATTCCCTCTCTCACGGAGGCGATAATACCCCGAGGAGTCTCCATCTTGAAGTGAGGAGAATCTACGTGCTTGTTGAAGGCACTTAGATCTATGATGGGACGCCACGCCCCGGACTTCTTCCGAACCAGAAACATTCTGGAGTAGAACCCGGGAGTGCATCCCGACATAGGAACCTCCTCGACCGCGCCCTTGGAAAGCATGGTCCTTACTTCCTCCTGGAGCGCCAGAGCCTTTTCCGGATCCCCCGGTGGAGGAAAAAAGATTGGCTCTGACGCTAAGGGCGGATCCCGCACTAGCGGAATGCCTAACCCCTCCTTGATCACAGACAAGGTCCATGCGTCTTCCGTAATTTCCTTCCACTCTGGAAGGAAAGCAGAAAGACGACCCCCCACAGGAAGATCTGGTCGAGGCAGATCGAGACCTTGCCAGGCAAGAGAATCGTCTGCTGACCCGAAGCCTAATCCTGCGGGAGAAGGACCTAAGCTTGAGCCGAGAGGACTGCATTCCTCCCGGCCAAACTCGTCGTCTGACACGACCAAGGAGGGAAGAAAAGAGTCAGGAACCCTTCTTCTTACCCCCAGGAGGGTTCTTACCCTTCTTACCCTTCCATTTGTTGCCCTTGAAGGGAGGCTTATACTTGGGCTGCGCAGAGGACTGCGAAGCCGAAGGTTTAGCCTTCTTCTTAGGAGGCGCTGACCCCTGCGAGGTACTGGCCTTCTCAGCCTGAATCCTCTTCACCAGAAGTGCAGAGGCGACCGAGTCCTCCTTCAAATCCTTCTGAACAGAAGGAAGGGCCCCTCCAAAAAGAGTGGACCCTGAGAAGGGGGCAGTCAACAGTCTGGAACGGTAAGGCTCATCGACCGGGCGATTTTTCAAAACTGAAAACCGCCTAGCCAACAAGACATTGACGAGGGATGACACCTGTAAAGCTGCCAGCGCTCTCAATGCCCCGTTCAGGGCAGAGGTCACTCTGTCCTGGATGTCGGCCTGCTCTGTCTCGGTAATCCGACCCTCAGGCAAGTCGGATACCCTATATAGACAAACCGTCAAGTAGTCTATATACGACAGAATCTGGATGGAGAGACGCAGCAGTCTCTCCATCTTGTGGTGTTCTTTGGGACCGAACACCACCTGGTCCACCGATTTACCGGGCCAAGCTGCAAGTTCCCTCGATTCCAGCTTAGCTGGTTGAGGGGCAAGCAGACCATCATGTGTGGCATAGTCAGTGGCGTGCACCTCTGACAAATCGCCAACACTGAGCTGCAACCCAGCATACCCAGGACTACGGGTTGAAGAAGAATTCTTCCCTAAAACCCGAGACTGGGCGGTGGCCAGAGCTGAAGACACAATGGTGCCTTCTGGCAGAGAGCGGTCCGACCGAGCGGACACCCGAGGAGCCACCAAAGAACCCAAAAGGGTGGTGGACTCGGGGACAGATGATGCCGAAGGTGGTGGGCAAACCTCCTCCCCAAGAATCCGGGAAACGTCAGCCCTAAGGCCCCGCATACCGGATAACACATGCTGGGCCTCAACCTCAGCAGCCTCAGGGTCTCCCTCATCCTGGAAGTCCTCCTCTGAGGGCAAGCCCTCCTGAGGACTGTCGTCAGACGACTCGGAAAGACCAGCGTCTATATCCGAACAACCAGGTGAAAGATGAACAACATCATTGTCCTCTGCCATACCCGCGCCCTCAACGTCCATAGCCTCCACACCATCCAGACCAGAAGCCTGGGGCGGAGGAAATGGGCCAGCCAGAGGGGCCAACCCGAGAGAAGGCTCCCCGTACCGGCGTTTAGGTGCAGTGCGCCTAACGGCCGTGGCTGTAGGTTTAGGCTTAGTAGCCAAAACCCTACCCTTGGACCCAGAGACCAACGAGCCTGCCCGAGAGGCAGAAGTCCTAAAGGTCCGACACACCTTCTTAGGACCGGCCGATAAGGCCCCCGAAGTAGCAGAAAGTTGGGGGGGGTCAACAGAACTGCTAACACGTCTCCGCGAGGGAGAGACCAAACCCCAAGGATTCCATGACGGAAATGCCATGGGGTTAAACCCATATCCCGGAGGATAGGGGAAAGGTCCCGCGGGCTGGGAGTGACCCCAGAACTGGCCAAACTGGCCTGCCTGAGACTGGGGCTGGCCAACTTGCCCAAAGGGCGAAGGTGGACCGCCACTCCCTCCAGGTGGAAACCCGGACATGTACGGGCTAAGCCCGTAACTGCCGGGATGCTGTCGCAACCCAAAACCATCCGCAGGCTGGTAAGGGCGGCCCAAGGATGGTTGCCCGCAGGCACCCGTATACCCTAAGCCAGGGGAAAACGGAGGCCGGAAACCGGCCCCCTGTCCAGCAAACCCAACCCCTGGGGGGAAACCCCCCAGGTTCCCAGAAGAATGAAACTCGGGACCGGACCTAATAGGACCGGGTCCGGGTAACTGACCGGGAGGGTATGCCTGACCAGCATTGATGCCGGGATTAGTGAGCTGCGCGTCACTAATCCCGGTAGACACAGACAATCCCGAAAGAAAGTCTGTTGTCACACCAGGACCTGAACCCGAAAGAACAGGCCCGGCACCAAGACTGTCCCCAACGACCGCACCACCTGGAATGCCGGGATCACTGACAGAGTCAGTGACCGGCGGCCGGTAGTCCCTACCCGAAGGCAAGCGCGAAAGCTTACGGGCGTTCCCGGCCAATTCGACCCTTGGCTGTGCCAAGCCAGGGTCAGGCTGCCCCTCCCCTACTCCAGGGAGTTCCTGGACAGGAAGGGCCACCCCCTGCTCACGAGAGGGACTTGCCGAAGCAAGACCCCCCGAGACAGGAACAGAGACAGTACCACCAGACCCCAGAGAGCTGGTGGCACGACCCCTACCTCTCTGCTTCCCTCGCTTACCGGAAGAAACAGACGAATCTGTCTTACGGTAAGTTGAGGGTAGCTTTGGAACAATGAAGTCCTTGCCCTGAGATTTTGACTGTGAACAAAGTTCACAAGGCGAAACCTCACTGCAAGGACGACACCTGGGACAGGCATCATGAGGGTCCCGTTCCACAAAGAAATGGGAACACCCATGAGCACTACCTCGTCGCTGTCCCGACCGAGACATACCCTCCAAAGCGAACGTAAACAAAAAATTTACAAGCAGATAAAACGGGAAAATAAGGATAAAATACGATAGTACAAAGTACGCAACGTAGAAAGAATTTCACCCGTAATATAAATCAGAAAACGGTTAAAATAAATAACGTTTGCCGAAACAAACAACCGTCACCGAAATAAACAGAGGTCGGAAATTAACCCACGATAATGGCGGACCGTGGCACACCACCGGCACACGTGGAGTAAAATAACCGGCCGTAAAAGGCACAAAAATAATTTTCAACAACAATTAGTTATATCAATGAGGGCAGATGGGTAAAAGGCACACAAACTGCGCAAAAATATGAGTTGACACTCAAACCAAACCGACGAAACAAAGTTTTGAATTGGAGCAAGCTCCGGGCGTCAGCATGCAGCAGGCGCCATAAAAGGAAGAGATCACTCCGTGGCTCTGTCATCGAGATATAGGTTACGTCACGGTAGGGAGGTAGGGATATTTGAATCTTTTGTTTTTGGGCTACAAAGATGGGTGTAGTGTAGGTATTGTATATGCATACTAAAGTTATGGTAATTATTACTGAAATGAAATTGTATATCAAAAGGTATGTATGTTTAATTGCAACTTGTCTGCCCCGAGTCTACCAACATTCATTAGGCCATTTTGGTCTTAGAGTTGTTGCTAGTATTCTGATTCTAACATCTACATTTCCTAGATTCATCAGCTTGGAAACATGTATACATTTAAGTTTTATTACAGTGTAAATATCAAACATGCCATAACGTTTTAACACAGACTATTCCTTTTGTTAGCTTGACATATATTATTTGTGTTAAAACTAAAACTCTGATGCATGATATTGGCATTTTTATTAATTGTCAAGTAAATGACAGTTTTAATTAGATAGAACAAATATATGTATTTCAAAATTGTCAAACACCTGATGGCTTGGTAATTATATTCATATATTGCCAGGGTCAAGGTTATAATTTAACTAGAAAATGTCTGTAAGACATAAATGCCCCCGCTCATGGACGGGACGGGACGGACATGGGCAACACTATATACCCCCCCCCATTTTATGGCAGGGGCATAAAAATACATACTATGGGTAAAGGTTACAATTCAAAAATACATACTATGAGTCTTTAATGAATGATTTTATAGGTATAGTACCACTGTACTAGCAGGTCAAATATGTAAAATATTGAGCCTATATTTATTTGAACATACTACAATGAAATATTGACATGTACTGATACGACGTGACCTTGACATGAAATAGTTGCACCAGTACTCCTTCTCCAAATCCAGAGGCCAAGGGGCCTTAATAGCTCACCTGGTATTTTATTTTCATTCTAAAACCTGCTGAGTACCATACCAATTTTTTACAAGAAATACAAGTAGCAAGAAGGTCCACATGTAAATCTGTTTGGGTGGGTAAGACACCAAGAACATGAGTGTCTAGCAATTCTGTAAATGGTTATGGCATGAGGATCTCAACTGTTTTCATGTCATGACCCAGGGAGGTAGTCTCCAGGGATTGGTCTGGGCCTGGGAGCTATTCCTGTAGCATGAATGTTTTTTTCTCTTCATGCCTAGCAATGGGGAGCCACACCCTCCAGTTATACAGGTTTTAGTTGTCTTTGTCTGCAGGTTCTCTTGACCAGTATAAGTTAAAATCCCTCCATTTGTATCGAATGAGAAAGATCTTCAAATAGTTTCCTTTCTTTGGCCCCGCCCCTCTGCCTAAAGGGGCCACACCCTCTATGTAAACAAAATTAGTCCCCTTTGCCGACAGATGATTTATAACAAATTTGGTGATAATCCCTCTATTCACATAGAAAGAGAAGGCTTTTAAAAATATTTATCTCCGTTTCCCTTATTGGCCCTGTACCTCCGCCCCCAATATGAATTCCCGATGCTCCAGAACAGGATCGGCTAAAATCCTTTAATGAGTACTAAAGTGGAAGGATTTTTAATATTTTCATTATTTACCCTAATTGACCCCAACCTTCTGCCCCAAAGGGGGAGGGCACAGCATAAAATTCTGATTCCTCTTTCTCTAAGCATGCTGCAGACCATATTTGGGTTAAATCCCTTCATTTGTTCAGAAGGAGAAACATTGTCCTCTATTTCCCTTATTGGCCTTTTGCAACCCTTCCCCCAGTGGGGGCACATCCTTTGTTTATATAATCAAAGAGCTATAAGAACTGAAGGAGGCATTAGTCAGATATTTGAACATGGAAAATATTAAATGAAAATGTAATAGGGGAAATTTGAAATAAAGCAATTATAGATGCTAACACGATTATTGATATAAATTCAAGAGCAGTATTTATTTTTAAAGTTAGAACTACTAACAATCAAAGTTACCCGCTTATCAAACATTGGAACTTCAGATAATATTCAACTGGAACTGTCGCCAGGATGGCCGACTCATACCCCCACTCCCACGTCCAGTCCGATTCCCACTCTAGCCCAAACACTTGTTAATAAGTATAAAGATAATCGAATGATTTGATTTCTGTTATACACAAGTTCATATTATACATAATAGAATTACCAATAAAAAAGGTTATATATTATTTGTGCTTTGTTGTTATAAGAACTATTTATCTTGTAGTGAAACGGATGTCCTATCTCGCAGTTGTCTACCTTCCAACAGTATTTTTTTTATAATTTGATAAATGTTCAAAAATCAATATATAGAGGAATATATAGTATAAAGATTTTATAGTCAATATTCTTATTGTTATTAAAAATATGTAAACTGAAATGTTAACAACATAATCAGGATATTTGAATGAACGAAGTGCTTCAAAAGTTGTCTCCCTAGCATTTTCGGTAACAGAGGCTACCACCAGACGTCGCAAATTCAGTTCTTCCCCTGGAAAGAAATAACTGACGTCATTTCTGATAGGTGATCTCAATACCGCAGGCATTATAAAAGCCTCCGTAAAAATGAATCCCTTTTGCCCAATGAAGCTCTAGAACAAGTTTGGTACAAATTCTTTTTTCTACCACAATACGCTGTGTTATTCCACTCTCAGATCATTGTATAAACACGCAGACTGTTAGATAAATATGAGTTATATACCACACGTGGTATATGACCTTCAAGAGTTTTGATTGGTCGAGAAGATGAACTTTGACCGGGAAGACTTTTTCCACGTGCTTTTTGCCACCTGCTGTTTTGTTTACGTCGTCGGTTGTCAACATCCGACAAATGTTGGTGACTTTGTGAGGTTATGCGGAAAGGGGGGTTATAAGGGCAATATTAAAAGATGATACTTAAAGATTTGACCGCTAGTTTCAGGCAAAATTGCTACAGACGCTCGATATCGTTCCGACGTCACACTGTCGCGTGTCCAGGTCTTGAAACCAAAACAAGATCTGTCACAGTGTCGGGAAATATTTTGTTCTCCCAACGTCCCGTTATCGCTATTTAGACGGTCTGACTATGGCTGAACTTTCACTATAAACGTCAACCATAGAACCGTCACGAAGAAACGTAAGCCTATGGTTTTGGATATTGACAACGATAAGTTCGTCTACAATGGTTCATCACTTGGCGGGAGGGAGACTTCGTACGATATGCTTACGCACACATAGTCCGTGGTTAATTTATATAAATTAATGCAATACTGCGACTCTCAATATTTAAAGTCAGTTATCTATTTTATTTTTTCACAAAGTTGTTGCCGAAACACTAATTTTGACAATAATTAAATTTGTAAAAAAAAAAGGGCATTTTTGAATATTAATGAGTGACTTTTTACATATGGGTCATATCACTACGCCAGCCTTGTCAACAAACACATGTGTGTATGTTCATGAGATTGTGGTAGAAACAGATCACACGACTCGTGGTTGTTGAGTATGGTATTTATTTCACTCTCTTTAGTAAATTTTCAAAAGTTACAGAAAGACACTCGCTAAAACTGGTGTCTTTTATAACTTTTGAAAATTAACTAACTCGAGTGAAGTAAATACCATATTTAACAACCACTCGTTGTGTAACCTCTATATATACACAAAAGGAGAAGGATTTTTGAATTTTTCCTCTATTCCCCCTGATGGACCTAACCCCTCAGCCTCAGTTCATACAAAAAAAAAGGCTTTTTACCCTAAGGTTGCTACATACCGCCTTTGGTTTAAATCACTTCATTTGAACAGAGGCAGAAAAGTTTTCCTCTATTCCTCTATTCAGCCCTGCCCCTCTGCCCCCAGGGGGGCCACCAACCCTGTTTAAACAAAATTGAGACACCTTTATCCAAAGATGCTCCAGACCAAATTTGGTCAAAATCCCTTCTTTGGTTGAGAAGGAGAAGATTTTTTTAAGATAAACCTCTTATCTCCCAATTTGGCCTCGCCCCTTTGCCCCCAAGCACATACACAACTCTTTGGCCAATGATGCTCCAGACCAAATTTGGTCAAAATCCACTTACCTCTGTCAAAATGACGGAGGTCAGAACTTTATATCCTACCCTGTATGGATGTTTAATCTGGCCATCAAATCTGCTCGGAGTGTGATATTTACGTCCAATATTTCTGAACTCATCGGGAAGCTGATAGTCTGCTGTAACTGTACAAAAATGGTGGATATTCTTGGAAGGACGGGGCATTTCCTCCTGCTCAGGGGGAGGGTACTTTCGGGGAGACATTGGTTTCCATGACGACAAAAAAGATACTGAGGATGACTGTATTGTAGTCTGAGGAAAGTTTGGTTGCCTGAGTTTTCTTCCTGCTAAGTCAAAACTTTGTCCGGCTACACTAACAATGTCTTCATAGGTCGCATCAGCTGGGGCCATAAGATCCTCATAAATCTGTAAGAGTAAAAAAAAAAAAACTGTATGATAATGCAATAAGACTAAGAACAAAACCAATCTCTGATAGCCGAAGAATAAAGACAATCTCTGATAGCCGGAGAATAAAGACAATCTCTGATAGCCAAAGAATAAAGACAATCTCTGATAGCCAAAGAACAAAGACAATCTCTGATAGCTGAAGAATAAAGACAATCTCTGAAAGCCAAAGAATAAAGACAATCTCTGATAGCCGAAGAATAAAGACAATCTCTGATAGCCGAAGAATAAAGGCAATCTCTGATAGCCGAAGAATAAAGACAATCTCTGATAGCCGAAGAATAAAGACAATCTCTGATAGCCGAAGAACAAAGACAGTCTCTAATAGCCGAAGAATAAAGATAATCTCTGATAGCTGAAGAATAAAGACAATCTCTGATAGCCGAAGAATAAAGACAATCTCTGATAGCTGAAAAACAAAGACAGTCTCTGAAAGCCGAAGAATAAAGACAATCTCTGATAGCTGAAAAACAAAGACAGTCTGATAGCCGAAGAACAAAGACAATCTCTGATAGCTGAAGAACAAAGACAGTCTCTGATAGCCGAAGAACAAAGACAGTCTCTGATAGCCGAAGAATAAAGACAATCTCTGATAGCTGAAGAACAAAGACAATCTCTGATAGCCGAAGAACAAAGACAATCTCTGATAGCTGAAGAATAAAGACAATCTATGATAGCTGAAGAATAAAGACAATCTCTGATAGCCGAAGAACAAAGACAATCTCTGATAGCCGAAGAACAAAGACAATCTCTGATAGCCGAAGAATAAAGACAATCTCTGACCAAAAGCAGCTTATTGCTGGATAAATAGGGGTCGTATTTATATGTAAACTACAAAAGTTACATTCAAACATGTTACAAATATCTATTACATTTTGACCAGTGAAATATTGGAAATTATTCTTTCTATAAGAGTGATATTTTCAAAATATCATATTTTTAGTGAAAAATATCACTTTTGTTGATTTGACCAATAAAAACACTAACTACATCTGGTCAAAGCCTGGTTAGCTTAATGATACACAGGTCTCAAGATCCATCTGAGCCATCAGTCCATTTTACTGTCCAGAAAAGTCAGATCTGTTACCTATCATGGGGAAATTATTGTCTTGGGCAAACACAATATTTAATTCCACAGTTTTTCATTTTAAGGAAGATAGCAGACTATACAGGTTAGCAATTCTGACTGTTTGATCGCAGGAACTCATGTCAAATGAAACACGTTGTCAGCGTCTCTAAGTCCCAGGTTAGGCTAATCGGTTGATAGTGATCTGAGTTGATAGGACAGGATTTAGATAATTACATCATGATTATTATTTGGCAATTAAAGGAATTAATATTGAGTTTTTAACAGTTTATCAAAATATTTGCAGAGAGGACTATATTTAGTTGGGTTTAATAGACATGCTAGTGGTAAAATGATCCAGATCAAGTATTCTCAACTTGGTGTTCCTGGGTAGGTTTTCATAAAAAAAATATAATAAACAGAACATCTAACTGGGTCTTCCATAATACCAAATATATTTCACTTGTGTGGCTAATATTTTGATATCGTTCACGAGTGCATAGCACTGTTAGATACCCTCTATTTCTTTCAATGATATTTATATTACAAATTATGTAAAACATAAATTTCAACATACTTAGTGCATTCAAAAATATAAAATGGAAAATTTCAACTGGGTGGCAGTGACCAAATTTTGCATCAATGTGACAAATGATTGCAAAAACAAGAGGCCCATTGGCCGTAACGGTCACCTGATTTATGTAAAAACTGATGTTATCGATGTTGCCAAATGAAAAAGAACTCATTTTGTAACAAAGGTAACTTGAACTACATGTAATGCAAAAGTAGTGTGAAAGATGTACGATGTACAAATAGTGGTTCTGTCAGTCAGCTGAATTTTGGTAAAGCACCTTAAGATCCTCCATCTATGAAGGGTATTTGATTCTACCATATCTGGGTCTTGAGAAGAAGATTTTTGAAATTTTAGTCAATTTTATGCTTTTTGGCCCCATCGTTCAGATCCCTGGGGACCATATAATTCACAATTAAACTATAGTAAAGAATACCCCCTCCCCAGGAGAAAACGTGAGACCCCAGGGTCATTAAATTCACAATTTCGGTAAAGCACCTCAAGACCCTTCCATCTATGAAGAGTATTTGATTCTACCATATCTGGGTCTTGAGAAGAAGATTTTTGAAATTTCTGTCAATTCGACCCTTTTTGGTCCCGCCCATCAGCCCCTGGGGGTCAGTCAGGGCTGATTTGTGCATATCATCAAACTGCTATCCAATACTGATAATGCTAACCAAGTTTGAATTAATTCCAATGAAAATGAAACAAATGCTGGTCCAAAATGTGATTTCCCTAAATAAACTATAGTAAAGTATACCCCCCTCCCCAGGGGGACACGTGAGACCCAAGAGTCATGAAATTCACAATTTCAGTAAAGCACCTTAAGACCCTTCCATCTATGAAGAGTATTTGATTCTACCATATCTGGGTCTTGAGAAGAAGATTTTTGAAATTTCAGTCAATTCAACCCTTTTTGGCCCTGCCCCTCAGGCCCCTGGGGGCTGGGGACCATATAAATGTTGGTTGACCTTTGGCCATGGAAGGATTCCGCAAAATTTCATTGAAATTGGTTCAGGGGTTTTGGAGAAGAAGTCGAAAATGTAAATTGTTTACGGACGCACGACGGACACACTTGTGACTTTGTCTCAGGTGACCTAAAAATGAAAGACAAATACTTTCCAACAGAATATTTTCATTTACCACAATTTGAGTAGACTTCCATTCCAATGAGAGGAAACTAGCAGTGTAATTGAAATCCACCCTTTAATGATGTCTAGTGTGATAAACATAAGAGGTTCCATCATGAAAATATTTGATCGCCTGATGTTGTTGTGTTTTAACTTTTAAAAGAGTCCATATCAGACACACTCCATAGCTACCTGTGTAATGTCTACAGACTCTGGTACTCTGCCTTCTTTGGTGATCTCATCGCCGAAGACAACCCCTCGCACAGTCTCTGTGGAAGGGTATGGAATTGGTACATCTGACTGGGGCTGAATGGGAAACATTGCATCATTACATTGGTGTAAAAAACTAGACAACTACTAGATAGTGTTATGATAAAACTATATCAAGAGAATTTCTTTTGCTATTTCTTAGTTATTATATAGTTTTCTTCCTATTTCCTAAAGTCAAGCGCAGAGGCCTTAGTAGAAAAAAAAAGTAAAATTACTGCTTTTATAGATGAGTATTCATTAAATACACAATATATCTTCTTTTGTATGCACATTTCTGTGCACAGCAGACTTGCCCCCCTTCAATTGAACAATGATTTCTGTGTACAGCAGAATTACCCCCCCACCCCCCACCCCCCTTAACGGAACTCTGATTTCTGTGCACAGCAGACTTGCCCCCCTTTAATGGAACTTTGATTTCTGTGTACAGCAGACTTACCCCCCTTTAAATTTGTTTGTGTGCAGCAGACTTATCCCCCTTTAATGGAACTTTGATTTCTCTATCTCTATTTAAAGATTACACATCATTACAGTGAGAACATTTCTTTACATTGAATAACACTTTATCAGTATCTAGACCAAAAGTACAGGAATAAAACCCCTGGTGTAGGTAAAACAACAAATGAAATCAACCCTCAGATATCAGATACCAAGTAACCACTAGGTCTGGTTCAGATATCTGATACCTAGCAACCACTAGGTCTGGTTCAGATATCTGATGCCTAGAAACCACTAGGTCTGGTTCAAATATCTGATTTGGTCTGGTTCAGATATCAGATGCCTAGTAACCCCCAAGTCTGGTTCAGATATCTGATACCTAGTAACCACTAAGTTTGGTTCAGATATCTGATGCCTAGACACCACTAGGTCTGGTTCAGATATCAGATACCTAGTAACCACTAGGTTTGGTTCAGATATCTGATGCCTAGAAACCACTTGGTCTGGTTCAGATATCAGATACCTAGTAACCCCTAAGTCTAGTTCAGATATCATATACCTAGTAACCCCTAAGTCTGGTTCAGATATCAGATGCCTAGTAACCCCCAAGTCTGGTTCAGATATCTGAAGCCTAGTAACCCCTAAGTCTGGTTAAAATATCTGATGCCTAGTTACCCCTAAGTCTGGTTCAGATATATGATGCCTAGTAACCACTAAGTTTGGTTCAGATAGCTGATGCCTAGTAACCACTAGGTCTGGTTCAGGTATCAGATGCCTAGTAACCACTCAGTCTGGTTCAGATATCTGATGCCTAGTAATCCCTTAGTCTGGTTCAGATATATGATGCCTAGTTACCCCTTAGTCTGGCTCAGATATCTGATGCCTAGTTACCCCTAAGTCTGGTTCAGATATCTGATGCCTAGTAACCACTAGGTCTGGTTCAGATATATGATGCCTAGAAACCACTAATTCTGGTTAAGATATCTGTTGCCTAGTAACCCCTAAGTCTGGTTCAGATATCAGATGCCTAGTAACCCCTAAGTCTGGTTAATATATTTGATGCCTAGTTACCCCTAAGTCTGGTTCAGATATCTGATACCTAGTAACCAATAGGTCTGGTTCAGATATCTGATGCCTAGTAACCACAAGGTTTGGTTCAGATATCTGATACCTAGTAATCACTAGATTTGGTTCAGATATCTGATGCCTAGTAACCCCTAAGTCTGGTTCAGATATCAGATGCCAAGTAACCCCTAAGTCTGGTTTAGATATCTGATGCCTTGTAACCACTAGGTCTTGTTCAGATATCAGATACCTAGTAACCCCTAAGTCTGGTTCAGATATCTGATGCCTAGAAACCACTAGGTCTTGTTCAGATATCTTATGCCTCGAAACCACAAGGTCTGGCTCAGATATCAGATGCCTAGTAACCGCTAGGTCTGGTTCAGATATCTGATGCCTAGTAACCACAAGGTCTCGTTCAGATATCTAATACCTAGTAACCACTAGATCTGGTTCAGATATCTGATGCCTAGTAACCCCTAAGTCTGGTTCAGATATCAGATACCTAGTAACCCCTAAGTCTTGTTTAGATATCTGATGCCTAGTTACCACTAGGTCTTGTTCAGATATCTGATGCCTAGTAACCACTAAGTCTAGTTAAGATATCTGATACCTAGTAATCCCTAAGTCTGGTTAAGATATCAGATGCCTAGTAACCACTAGATCTGGTTCAGATATCTGATGCCTAGTAACCCATAAGGTCTGGTTCAGATATCTGATACCTAGTAACCACTAGGTCTGGTTAAGATATTTGATGCCTAGTTACCCCTTAGTCTGGTTAAGATATATGATGCCTAGTTACCCCTAAGTCTGGTTCAGATATCTGATACCTAGTAACCACTAGGTCTGGTTCAGATATCTGATACCTAGTAACCACTAGATCTTAGTAACCACTAGGTCTGGTTCAGATATCTGATGCCTAGTAACCCATAAGTCTGGTTCGGATAGCAGATACCTAGTAACCCCTAAGTCTTGTTCAGATATCTGATGCCTAGTTACCACTAGGTCTTGTTCAGATATCTGATACCTAGAAACCACAAGGTCAGGTTCAGATATCTGATACCTAGTAACCACTAGATCTGGTTCAGATATCAGATGCCTAGTAACCCCTTCGTCTGGTTCAGATATCAGATGTCTGGTAACCTCTAAGTCTGGTTCAGATATCTGATACCTAGTAACCACTAGGTCTTGTTCAGATATCTGATACCTAGTAACCACAAGGTCTGGTTCAGATATCTGATACCTAGAAACCACTAGATCTGGTTCAGATATCAGATGCCTAGTAACTCTCAGATATCAGATGCCTAGTTACCACTAGGTCTTGTTCAGATATCTGATACCAAGTAACCCCTAAGTCTGGTTCAGATATCTGATACCTAGTTACCCCTAAGTCTGGATCAGATATCAGATACCTAGTAACCCCTTAATCTGGTTAAAGTATCTGATGCCTAATTACCACTAGGTCTTGTTCAAATATCTGATGCCATGTTACCACTAGGTCTGGTTCAGATATCTGATGCCTAGTAACCGCTAGGTCTGGTTCAAATATCTGATGCCTAGAAACCGCTAGGTCTTGTTCTAACCACTAGATCTGGTTCAGATATCTGATGCCTAGTAACCCATAAGGTCTGGTTCAGATATCTGATACCTAGTAACCACTAGGTCTTGTTCAGATATCTGATACCCTTAGTCTGGCTCAGATATCTGATGCCTAGTTACCCCTAAGTCTGGTTCAGATATCTGATACCTAGTTACCCCTAAGTCTGGATCAGATATCAGATTACCCCTTAGTCTGGCTCAGATATCTGATGCCTAGTTACCCCTAAGTCTGGTTCAGATATCTGATACCTAGTAACCACTAGGTCTGGTTCAGATATCTGATACCTAGTAACCACGAGATCTGGTTCAGATATCAGATGCCTAGTAACTCTCAGATATCAGATGCCTAGTTACCACTAGGTCTTGTTCAGATATCTGATACCTAGTAACCACAAGGTCTTGTTCAGATATCTGATACCTAGAAACCACAAGGTCTGGTTCAGATATCTGATCCCTAGTAACCACTAGATCTGGTTCAGATATCAGATGTCTGGTAACCTCTAAGTCTGGTTCAGACATCTGATACCTAGTAACCACAAGGTCCTGTTAAGATATCTGATACCTAGTAATCCCTAAGTCTGGTTCAGATATCAGATGTCCAGTAACACCTTAGTCTGGTTCAGATATCTGATGCCTAGTAACAAATAGGTCTGGTTCAAATATCTGATGCCTAGAAACCGCTAGGTCTTGTTCTGATATCTAATGCCTCGAAACCACTAGGTCTTGTTCAGATATCTGATACCTAGTAACCACAAGGTCTGGTTCAGATATCTGATACCTAGTAACCACGAGATCTGGTTCAGATATCAGATGCCTAGTAACCCCTTCGTCTGGTTCAGATATCAGATGTCTAGTAACCCCTTAGTCTGGTTCAGATATCTGATGCCTAGTAACAAATAGGTCTGGTTCAAATATCTGATGCCTAGAAACCGCTAGGTCTTGTTCTGATATCTAATGCCTCGAAACCACTAGGTCTTGTTCAGATATCTGATACCCTTAGTCTGGCTCAGATATCTGATGCCTAGTTACCCCTAATTCTGGTTCAGATATCTGATGCCTAGTAACCACTAGGTCTGGTTCAAATATCTGATGCCTAGAAACCTCCAGGTCTTGTTCAGATATCTAATGCCTCGAAACCACTAGGTCGTGTTCAGATATCTGATACCTAGTAACCCCTAAGTCTGGTTCAGATACCTGATACCTAGTAACCACTAGGTCTGGTTCAGATATCTGAAACCTAGTTACCCCTAAGTCTGGTTCAGATATCTGATGCCTAGTAACCCCTAAGTCTGGTTCGGATAGCAGATACCTAGTAACCCCTAAGTCTTGTTCAGATATCTGATGCCTAGTAACCACTAGGTCTGGTTCAAATATCTGATGCCTTGTTACCACTAGGTCTGGTTCAGATATCTGAAATCTAGTTACCCCTAAGTCTGGTTCAGATATCTGAACCAGACCTAGTGGTTTCTAGGCATCAGATATCTGAACCAGACTTAGGGGTAACTAGGTTTCAGATATCTGATGCCTAGTAACCCCTAAGTCTGGTTCGGATAGCAGATACCTAGTAACCCCTAAGTCTTGTTCAGATATCTGATGCCTAGTAACCACTAAGTCTAGTTAAGATATCTGATACCTAGTAATCCCTAAGTCTGGATCAGATATCAGATCCCTAGTAACCCCTTAATCTGGTTAAAGTATCTGATGCCTAATTACCACTAGGTCTTGTTCAAATATCTGATGCCCTGTTACCACTAGGTCTGGTTCAGATATCTGAACCAGACTTAGGGGTAACTAGGTTCAGATATCAGATGCCTAGTAACCTCTAAGTCTGGTTCAGATATCTGATACCTAGTTAACCCTAAGTCTGGATAAGATATCAGATACCTAGTAACCCCTAAATCTGGTTAAAGTATCTGATGCCTAATTACCACTAGGTCATGTTCAAATATCTGATGCCATGTTACCACTAGATCTGGTTCAGATATCTGATGCCTAGTAACCACTAGGTCGGGTTAAGATATCAGATGCCTAGTAACCCCTTAGTCTGGTTCAGATATCAGATGTCTAGTAACCCCTTAGTCTGGTTCAGATATCAGATGTCTAGTAACCCCTTAGTCTGGTTCAGATATCAGATGTCTAGTAACCCCTTAGTCTGGTTCAGATATCAGATGTCTAGTAACCTCTAAGCCTGGTTCAGATATCTAATGCCTCGAAACCACTAGGTCTTGTTCAGATTTCTAATACCTAGTAACCCCTAAGTCTGGTTCAGATATCTGATACCTAGTTACCCCTAAGTCTGGATAAGATATCAGATACCTAGTAACCCCTCAATCTGGTTTAAGTATCTGATGCCTAATTACCACTAGGTCTTGTTCAAATATCTGATGCCATGTTACCACTAGGTCTGGTTCAGATATCTGATGCCTAGTAACCACAAGGTCTGGTTCAGATATCTGATACCAAGTAACCACAAGATCTGGTTCAGATATCAGATGCCTAGTAACTCCTTAGTCTGGTTCAGATATCAGATGTCTAGTAACCTCTAAGTCTGGTTCAGATATCTGATACATAGTAACCACTCGGTCTGGTTCAGATATCAGATGCCTAGTTACCTCTAGGTCTTGTTCAGATATCTGATACCTAGTAACCACAAGGTCTGGTTCAGATATCTGATACCAAGTAACCACTAGATCTGGTTCAGATATCAGATGCCTAGTAACTCCTTAGTCTGGTTCAGATATCAGATGTCTAGTAACCTCTAAGTCTGGTTCAGATATCTGATACCTAGTAACCACAAGGTGCTGTTCAGATATCTGATACCTAGTAACCACTAAATCTGATTTAGATATCAGATGCCTAGTAATCCCTAAGTCTGGTTCAGATATCAGATGTCCAGTAACACCTTAGTCTGGTTCAGATATCTGATGCCTAGTAACCACTAGGTCTGGTTCAAATATCTGATGCCTAGAAACCACTAGGTCTTGTTCAGATATCTAATGCCTCGAAACCACTAGGTCTTGTTCAGATATCTGATACCTAGTAACCCCTAAGTCTGGTTCAGATATCTGATACCTAGTAATCCCTAAGTCTGGATCAGATATCAGATACCTAGTAACCCCTTAATCTGGTTAAAGTATCTGATGCCTAATTACCACTAGGTCTTGTTCAAATATCTGATGCCATGTTACCACTAGGTCTGGTTCAGATATCTGATGCCTAGTAACCACTAGGTCTGGTTAAGATATCAGATGCCTAGTAACCCCTTAGTCTGGTTCAGATATCAGATGTCTAGTAACCTCTAAGTCTGGTTCAGATATCTAGATACCTAGTAACCACTCGGTCTGGTTCAGATATCAGATGCTTAGTAACCCCTAAGTCTGATTCAGATATCAGATACCTAGTAACCCCTTAGTCTGGTTCAGATATCTGATGACTAGTTACCCCTAAGTCTGGTTCAGATATCAGATGCCTAGTAACCCCGAAGTCGGGTTCAGATATCTGATGCCTAGTTTCCCCTCAGTCTGTTTCATATATCTAATGCCTGGTACCCTCCAAGTCTGGTTTATATATCAAATGCCCATAACCCTCCAAGACTGTTTCATATATCAAATGCCCATAAACCTCCAAGTCTGGTTCAAATATCCTAGCCTGATTAACAAGTCATTTATTCAAATGTTCAAAAATGTGATTAATTTAAAATTGGAACAAACATTTTGTGTTTATAATCAATAAATTGAGGTTTTTGAAGTAAAACAAATTTTCTTGATGTAATATTTACCATAACTTTAGTATGCATATACAATACCTACACCCATTTTTGTAGCCCAAAAACAAAAGATTCAAATATCCCTACCTCCCTACCGTGACGTAACCCATATCTTGATGACAGAGCCATCGAGTGATCGCCCTTCCTCAAACCTCTTTTATAGAGCCTAAAGGCAGCCGGGTTGAGGAGGCAAGGGGACGAACACAGGGTGGGACTCCATAAAGTAATGGTAAGTATTACATCATGAATTTCTTTTCAGTAATAATTACCATAATTTTAGTATGCAAATTCGTCTTACCGCAGTGGAGGCTTCAAATCCAGGCAGACCAGGTTGATGGAACAAACTCGAGACATGCTCAAGGTAGGGTAAAGGTTCAAGGAACCCCCCTAATAAAACCCCGAAAGTAATTACAAAATGGAAAACCTCTCCGTGAAACAAGCAGGTGTACCACCGTGGTGCCTGATAGCATACTATTTAAAAATCACTGAATTACTGTGGAGGAACAGCCACAGACTGTGCAACCACCACCGGTCCAAGGGAATACAATCCATCAGAATGAGAAGCCAAGGACTGGAGAGAATAATCCGTGAAGGTAGTCTGTCTGCGCCAGAAAGCTGCGGACGTGAACTCCTGAAACGGGGACCCATTGAGGATGGCCCATGACGCAGCAAGGGCCCTGATCTCATGAGCTCTCACCTTATACAACACCCGAACCTGATCATCCGAGTGGTCGTAACCATACTTGATGACCTGACAGATCCATCTAGAACCAGAAACATTCTGGGGTAGAACCCTGGCGTGCATACCGACATAGGAATCTCCTCGAATGCGCCCTTGGTAAGCATAGTCCTTACTTCCTCCTGGAGCGCCAGAGCCTTTCCGGATCCCCCAGTGGAGGAAAAAAGATTGGTTCTGACGCTAAGGGCGGATCCCGCACTAGCCATAAAAGGAAAAGGAAGGGCGATCACTCGATGGCTCTGTCATCAAGATATGGGTTACGTCACGGAAGGGAGGTAGGGATATTTGAATCTTTTGTTTTTGGGCTACAAAGATGGGTGTAGGTATTGTATATGCATACTAAAGTTATGGTAATTATTACTGAAATGAAATATCATTTTGAACTCCTTTTAAGAATCCTTTTTAAGAACATACCGTTTTAATTTTGTAAGAAGTTGTCGTTACCCTATCAGCTCAGAATAGCTGGACCCTGATGGTAATTAATTTCTAACCAACCAATAAATCTACAGCCACAATGTTTTCTTCTTACCTTATCTTCAACTTGTTTATCTCCTGTTGTGCCCAATTACCTTATCTTTGACTTGTTTATCTCCTGTTGTGCCCTTACCTTATCTTTGACTTGTTTATCTCCTGTTGTGCCCTTACCTTATCTACGACTTGTTTATCTCCTGTTGTGCCCTTACCTTATCTTTGACTTGTTTATCTCCTGTTGTGCCCTTACCTTATCTTCGACTTGTTTATCTCCTGTTGTGCCCTTCCCTTATCTTCGACTTGTTTATCTCCTGTTGTGCCCTTCCCTTATCTTCGACTTGTTTATCTTCTGTTGTGCCCTTTCCTTATCTTCGACTTGTTTATCTCCTGTTGTGCCCTTCCCTTATCTTCGACTTGTTTATCTTCTGTTGTGCCCTTACCTTATCTTCAACTTGCTTATCTCCTGTTGTGCCCTTTCCTTATCTTCGACTTGTTTATCTCCTGTTGTGCCCTTACCTATCTTCGACTTGTTTATCTTCTGTTGTGCCCTTACCTTATCTTTGACTTGTTTATCTCCTGTTGTGCCCTTGCCTTATCTTCGACTTGTTTATCTTCTGTTGTGCCCTTACCTTATCTTCAACTTGCTTATCTCCTGTTGTGCCCTTACCTTATCTTCGACTTGTTTATCTTCTGTTGTGCCCTTACCTTATCTTCGACTTGTTTATCTCCTGTTGTGCCCTTACCTATCTTCGACTTGTTTATCTTCTGTTGTGCCCAATTACCTTATCTTCGACTTGTTTATCTCCTGTTGTGCCCTTACCTTATCTTCGACTTGTTTATCTCCTGTTGCGCCCTTGGCAGCTGGACCACTGCCTACTTCGCCTGGAAATGATTTCATTTCAGAATATTTAATTATGATCTTTCTAACAGGAATTGGGATATAGGAAAAGCCTGTGAAAGCCCATGGAATTAAACACTGTCATTGCCATACACTGCTGCAAATAAATAGGAATTGCCTTGGTGTTACTGATAAATTACAATATGTACAAGTAATTATAAGTTGAAACTAGAACCGCACTAAACCCCCACTCCCAAATAAAGCAGAACTGTAAGCAAAAGGTTAACTAAGACAAAATATTGCAAAGCAATCCAGTCTCCTACCTGTAATGATATTTTTCCTAAACTCCCTGTGCCAAAACATACTTGCATATCAAATCTGGTGAGTCCACGGGAATTAGCCCAAGATATGTCCCAATCAAACTTTTTCAGAGGCTAAGGTCAAAGGTAAAACAACAGGTCACTGTGACCCTACTTTTTGCATTTCACATTCCTCCATCCCATACACAGATACACAGAATAATGAGGACAAACTATGTAGCCCCAACAAGCTGTCATATTCCAAGCAAATGAAATAATTGATAGAAAGTACACAACTACACGATGACAGGGGGTAGCTATCATTTCTGTAAAGTGTCGTTGAAATCAGCCTAGTAGTTAAAGAAAAGTTGTCCAGACAAGGATCTGTCATCAAGGTCCATAACTCCGTAAAATAAGTTCACATTGAAAATATAATATCTTGTTGCACAACATCAGGGGTTAGTTACCATTTCTGAAAACTTGTTGAATTTGGCCCCGTAGTTTAAGAGAAGTTGTCCGGACAAAGATTTTTCAACAAAGGGCAATAACTCCATAAACAAGAGTACCACGGGGCAGAACAATATACGCCCATTGAATGCCATATAGTGTTATATACTTTCTTTCATTGAAATAAGATCTGCATCATTCAAAGAGTGGTTAGCTGACTTGCTATAACAAGAGGCCCATGGGCCTTAAAGGTCACCTGATATATTTATACAAAGAGTTGATTTTGTTTTTAACATGAACAGAAATATTATTCAAAGTGACAAAAAACAATAAAACCACCTTATTCAATATCTAGCATACAGATTTAAGACTAAAAAGTATTTGAAACTAGCANCCCCCCCCCCTCCTTCCCCATGGGGTAAACATGAGACCCTAGGGTCATAAACCTTAAGACCCTTCCATCTATGAAGAGTGTTTGATTCTACCAAATCTGGGTCTTTGAGAAGAAGATTTTTGAAATTTCAGTCAATTCGACCCTTTTTGGCCCCACCCATCAGACCCGGGGGTCAGTCAGGGCTAATTTGTGCATACTATCAAACTGCTACCTAATACTGATAATGCTAACCTAAATTGAATTACTTCTAATGAAAATTAAACAAATGTTGGTCCAAAATGTGATTTCCCTATATAAACTATAGTAAAGTTTACCCCTCTCCAGGGGGAAACATGAGACCCCAGGGTCATAAAATTCACTATTTTGGTAGAGCACCTTAAGACCCTTACATCTATGAAGAGTATTTGATTCTACCATATCTTGGTCTTGAGAAGAAGATTTTTGAAATTTCAGTCAATTCGACCCTTTTTGGCCCCACCCATCAGCCCCTGGGGGTCAGTCAGGGCTGATATGTGTATACTACCAAACTGCTACCTAATACTGATAATGCTAACTTAAATTGAATTACTTCCAATGGAAATTAAACAAGAGGCCCAAGGGCCTTAGCGGTCACCTGAGTTATATCATAGGTACTGGTAGCTTTATTTTATTGTTTAGATGTGATGTGGAAATCAGCATGTAAACTAAGTGAAATACAATACTTGTCATGTCATCAAAGGATAAGAATTTTAAAATATTTGTAAATATTCCCTTTTGGGCCCCGCCCTGGCCCCGAGGGTTGGGGCAGGAATCCTAATTTTACAATTTAAAACCATCTTCCTTCAAGGATAATTCTCATCAAGTAAAAATAATTTCCAACAGAAAATTGTCAAAATATACCCAAAAGTGTTGTTTCCCTATATAAACTATAGTAAACTTTACCCCCTCCCCAAGGGAGAACGGATAGCTCGGGGGTCCTGAAATTTACAATTTAAATAAAGCCCCTGATGATCTTTCCATCCATGCAGAGAAAATGACTGTAATACCTCTGAGTCTGGAGAAGAAGATTTTTGAAATATTGGTTAATTTTCTCTTTTGGGCCCCGCCCTGGCCCCTAGGGTTGGGGTAGGATTCTCAATTTTACAATTTGAAACCATCCTCCTCCAAGGATAATTCTCACCAAGTAAAAATAATTTCCAACAGAAAATTGTCAAAATATACCCAAAAGTGTTGTTTCCCTATATAAACTATAGTAAACTTTACCCCTCCCCAAGGGAGAATGGATAGCTCAGGGATCCTGAAATTTACAATTTAAATAAAGCCCCTGATGATGTTTCCATCCATGCAGAGAAATTGACTGTAATACCTCTGAGTCTGAATAAGAAGATTTTTGAAATATTGGTTAATTTTCCCTTTTGGGCCTCGCCCTGGCCCCTAAGGTTGGGGGAGGAATCCCCAGTGACAGTGGCCAAGTGGATAAGGCATCTGACATTCTGCTACCACTAGCCATCACCACTGGGTCGCGGTGGCGAAGTGGATAAGGCATCTGACATTCTGCTACTACTAGCCCTCCACCACTGGGCCGCGTTGGCCAAGTGGATAAGGCATCTGACATTCTGCTACAACTAGCCATCACCACTGGGTCGCGGTGGCCAAGTGGATAAGGCATCTGACATTCTGCTAATACTAGCCATCACCACTGGGCCGCGGTTGCCAAGTGGATAAGGCATCTGACATTCTGCTAATACTAGCCATCACCACTGGGCCGCGGTTCCCAAGTGGATAAGGCATCTGACATTCTGCTACCACCAGCCATCACCACTCGGCCGCGGTGGCCAAGTGGATAAGGCATCTGGCATTCTGCTACCACTAGCCATCACCACTGGGTCCCGGTGGCGAAGTGGATAAGGCATCTGACATTCTGCTACAACTAGCCATCACCACTGGGTCGCGGTGGCGAAGGGGATAAGGCATCTGACATTCTGCTACCACCAGCCATCACCACTGGGCCGCGGTTGCCAAGTGGATAAGGCGTCTGACATTCTGCTAATACTAGCCATCACCACTGGGCCGCGGTTCCCAAGTGGATAAGGCATCTGACATTCTGCTTCCACTAGCCATCACCACTGGGACGCAGTGGCCAAGTGGAAAGGGCATCTGACATTCTGCTACTACTAGCCATCACCAATGGGTCGCGATGGCCAAGTGGATAAGGCATCTGACATTCTGCTACCACTAGCGATCACCACTGGGCCGCGGTGGCCAAGTGGATAAGGCATCTGATATTCTGCTACCACTAGCCATCACCACTGGGACGCAGTGGCCAAGTGGAAAGGGCATCTGATATTCTGCTACTACTAGCCATCACCAATGGGTCGCGATGGCCAAGTGGATAAGGCATCTGACATTCTGCTCCCACTAGCCATCACCACTGGGCCGCGGTGGCCAAGGGGATAGGGCATCTGACATTCTGCTACCACTAGCAATCACCCCTGGGCCGCGGTGGCCAAGTGGATAAGGCATCTGATATTCTGCTACCACCAGCCATCACCACTGGGCCGCGGTTACCAAGTGGATAAGGCATCTGACATTCTGCTACCACCAGCCATCACCACTGGGCCGCGGTTACCAAGTGGATAAGGCATCTGACATTCTGCTACCACTAGGCCTCCACCACTGGGCCGCTGGCCAAGTGTATAAGGCAATTGACATTCTGCTACCACTAGCCATCACCACTGTGGATAAGGCATCTGCCATTCTGCTACTACTAGCCCTCCACCAATGGGCTGCGGTGGCCAAGTGGATAAGTCGTCTGACATTCTGCTAATACTAGCCATCACCACTGGGCTGTGGTGGCCAAGTGGATAAGGCGTCTGACATTCTGCTAATACTAGCCATCACCACTGGGCTGTGGTGGCCAAGTGGATAAGGCGTCTGACATTCTGCTACTACTAGCCATCACCACTGGGACGCAGTGGCCAAGTGGAAAGGGCATCTGCCATTCTGCTACTACTAGCCATCACCACTGGGCCGCGGTGGCCAAGGGGATAAGGCATCTGACATTCTGCTACCACTAGCCATCCCCACTGGGTGGCGGTGGCCAAGTGGATAAGGCATCTGACATTCTGCTTCCACTAGCCATCACCACTGGGACGCAGTGCCCAAGTGGAAAGGGCATCTGACATTCTGCTACTACTAGCCATCGCCAATGGGTCGCGATGGCCAAGTGGATAAGGCATATGACATTCTGCTACCACTAGCCATCACCACTGGGCCGCGGTGGCCAAGAGGATAAGGCATCTGACATTCTGCTTCCACTAGCCATCACCACTGGGACGCAGTGCCCAAGTGGAAAGGGCATCTGACATTCTGCTACTAGTAGCCATCACCAATGGGTCGCGATGGCCAAGTGGATAAGCCATCTGACATTCTGCTACCACTAGCCATCACCACTGGGCCGGGGTGGCCAAGTGGATAAGGCAATTGACATTCTGCTACCACTAGCCATCACCACTGGGCCGCCGTGGCCAAGTGGATAAGGCATCTGACATTCTGCTCCCACTAGCCATCACCACTGGGCCGCGGTGGCCAAGAGGATAAGGCATCTGACATTCTGCTACCACTAGCCCTCCACCACTGGGCCGCTGGCCAAGTGTATAAGGCAATTGACATTCTGCTACCACTAGCCATCACCACTGGGCCGCGGTGGCCAAGTGGATAAGGCATCTGACATTCTGCTACCACTAGCCATCACCACTGGGCCGCGGTGGCCAAGTGGATAAGGCATCTGACATTCTGCTACCACTAGCCATCACCACTGGGCAGCGGTGGCCAAGTGGATAAGGCATCTGACATTCTGCTACTACTAGCCCTCCACCACTGGGCTGCGGTGGCCAAGTGGATAAGGCATCTGACATTCTGCTTCCACTAGCCATCACCACTGGTAATGGGTTCAAGGTCTATGTGGGGCAGTCACCAACAATCATAGGGAAGTAGTATGCTAAGTTTGAGACAAACTTCTTCTGTAGTTTTTAAGACATTCTTGACACAATATTCCGGACAGACGGGTTGGTTCTAATAAACCATCCCCATCCCTAACTTCATTGTGGGGGATATAATGAGGCATCTTGTAAACAAGAGGCCCAGAAAGGCCTGTGTCACTCACCTGTTTGTTTTGTTACATTGATTTGTTTGCCAAATATTGTGAAGCTAGGTTGATTGGCTAGTTGTTTGATCCCTGTGACGTTGAGAGCATATGTAGCACAAGGGCATATTCATGTGCAAATGATGTTGAACTCAAACATAGGATGCTGGTGGGGGAAAGGAGCAGGACTTGGAACATTTCAGATATTCAGAAGTGTGTTGAACAGTTTTGTTTATTGTTATTTGTTTATCGTTTTATCAACAGCTAAGTTCATATAAGGATGGTGTCGCATGACAGACAAACGACTTTGAAAGTAAAGGTCAATGTCATTTTCATTTGCAAACTTCATCAGGTTCCATCATAGGATGCTACTGGACAAATATCATGACTTTAGGGCAATCAGATCTTCAGGAGAAGTCGTTTGAAGGTTAAGACTTATTTCACTCCTATGACCTTGAAAGTAGGTCAAGGTCATTTTCATTCGCAAACTTTGTCAGACTCCATCATATGATACTACTGGCCAAATGTTATGACTTCAGGCCTTTCAGATCTTCAGAAGAAGTTGTTTGAAGGTTTAGACCTATTTCACTCCTGTGACTTTGAAAGTAGGTCAAGGTCATTTTCATTTGCAAACTTTGTTGTGTGCCATCATAGGATGGTACGGCCATATATCATGACTCTAGGCCTTTCAGATCTTCAGAAGAAGTCATTTGAATGTTTTGACCTGTTAGAACCCTATGACCTTGCAAGTGGGTCAATGTCATTTTTAATCACACACTTTGTCGGGCTTCATCATAGGATGCTACTGGCCAAATATCATGACTTCAGGCCGTTTGGATCTTCAGAAGAAGTCGTTTAAACAAAAAGCCATGGCACTTTTACTGTATCTGGAATATCTGGAATATCACAGGTTTTCTCACCGTCTGTCTTTCCTTCTTCCTTCTCCTCTGCTATCTGGTCCTGTTGCCCACCTTCCTTTGATCCTATTAAGAAAAACACAAATACCTAGCATTTAAAATAGACTGTTATTTATCATTCCATTTCACACAGGACTTATTTTTGTGAGGCTCAAATTTTGTGGTTTGAACAAAGTTTGTTATTTTGTTAGCACATTAATTCATTGTTTAGCCAAGGTTTTGAATGCTGGCCAATCAACACCTTTAATCATTGTTCAAAATATATTTGTCATATATGTATAAATTTATTGATAAGGAGTACCACAAAATCAACAAAAATACCCTCCTTCCTCCCCAACCCGTATGTTATCAAACCTTTTATCACATCGCTTAACACCATTAAATCTGTAAATATCCTTTGTGATATATTGAAAATTGCTAAATACTACCAGTATATCTTCCTTTTTCCACAGATACTGGTTTTTCCCACAATTCTTTTATCAAATATAAGTTCATTTGACTTCATTCCTCAATGGAGATTATCCTTATCATGCCATTAAATCCCCTTCGAGATATCCCTGTTGAATGTTGGTCAAGTTAATCATAAAGTATGCATACTGTAAATGCTTATATTTAAGTGTCAATCTTATTTAAGCACTATTTGCACAAAAAATATTGTGCTTAATAATGATTGTGCTAATTGATATTTCGGAAAATTTAATGAATCACCAGATGATTTTTACCATCAGATCTGAATGAGTTAATGATAGATTGGTTCTTATCCTGCTGCCTTATATTACTGGTGCCAATGTACATTTCCATAAAACTTCTTTTTTTTGACATTTCTGCTGAGCTCTAACAAATATGAGTGGGCTTATTTCCGGACCATAAAAAAAGTGTTTTTTTAAACATTACTTATGTTGGGCTTATTGCCAGAGGAATAAGGAAGCTTTTATTCACTGCTGGCAAAACAATGTAAATATAAAAACCTTGTAGTTTCTAGTCTCTAATGCAGAGTTAGTTAGGGCTACTGACTATCAATGAAGATGTGATGCCTAAAATTTTAACCTACAAATCTGTTCTTAGAATAAAACAATGAGAGTTCATCTGGTCAACTTTACAGCATACTGTCTTAGCTGTAATATAAACAGACTTTAATACATTAACCGTATCGTTTCTACAAGAAAATTATTCATTACAATAGCTTATATAAAAAATAAAATTTATGTCAGGCGAAGATGTTACTCATCAGGCTTAAGAAGTCATTTAACAAAAAAACAGCATTGACATGCACTTTAGCTAATAAATAGATACCCTCAACACCACAAAGTTTTGTGAAAGGTGTTTAGGTGTGAAAAGCATGCACTAAAATAGATAAGTTAAGGTGACAAACTGTCACACATTACATGTCAGTGAATTTTTATATAGGTATCTCTTAAAGTCTTATTCACTTATAAACGCAAAGGTCATACAGGGTCACACAGTAGAAAGAGAAAAAAGGTAAATGTGCTACAAGGGACGAAAATATAGGATTTTTATTGATGAAGGTGATTGGATTGGAAACATACACTAAAAAGAAATTACACCCATTGTGAACCAAAAGCAAAAAGGTGCATGGGTGTTAAGTAGGGTTCAAACTACTTTTGAAGCATGCACAAGAGAATGGATATATGAGTTAAATTCTGCTGCAGAAACATGAGGACTGGGTCTGTATGTAAAACATGCACTATATCAGGAGGGGGGAAATAAATATTGGTAATTTAATCACACAACATGTGAAAAATGCACAGAGTGGAAAGAGACAAAATTGATTTTAAAAAAAGATTTAAACATGATATAACTTAACTTGGGGTGGGTTTAAGCAGAAACTAGTTCAACTGCATGTGAAACATGTACTAAGATGGAAAAGGCGAAACAGAAATCATTCAAACTACCTGGTATATGTAAACATGCATTAAGTTAGGGTAGGCACATACAGAAAATCGTAAAACTACTGTAAAACATGCACCAAGATGGGGTGGGTTGAGACAGAAATTGGTTAAAATACACATGAAACATTCACTAAGTTGAGGTAGGTTGAAATAAAATTTGATACAATCCTTGTCAAACATGCACTTATTTGGGGAAGGTAGAAATAGAAATTGATTCAACTGCATCTCAAACACGCACAAAAATGGGTGGTGGGTTATAGTTAAAAATTGGTTAAATTACAAATGAAGCATGCACTTATATAGTTGGGGTGGGTTGAGACTTGAATTGGCTATACTTCTGTAAAACATGCACTTATAATTAGTTGAGGTGGGATGAGACTTGAAATGGCTATACTACTATGAAACATGCACTTAGTTGGGGTGGGATGAGACTTAATTGGCTATACGACTGTGAAACATGCACTTAGTTGGGGTGCGATGAGACTTAATTGGCTATACTTCTATGAAACATGCACTTAGTTGGGGTGGATGAGACTTAATTGGCTATACTCCTATGAAACATGCACTTAGTTGGGGTGGGATGAAACTTAATTGGCTATACTACTGCGAAACATGCACTTAGTTGGGGTGGATGAGACTTAATTGGCTATACGACTGTGAAACATGCACTTAGTTGGGGTGGGATGAGACTTAATTGGCTATTCTACTGTGAAACATGCACTAAGTTGGGTTGGGATGAGACATAAATTGGTAAAACTACTGTGAAACATACACTTAGTTGGGGTGGGATGAGACTTAATTGGCTATACTACTGTGAAACATGCACTTAGTTGGGGTGGGATGAGACATAAATTGGTAAAACTACTGTGAAACCTACACTTAGTTGGGGTGGGATGAGACTTAATTGGCTATACTTCTATGAAACATGCACTTAGTTGGGGTGGGATGAGACTTAATTGGCTATACTACTGTGAAACATGCACTTAGTTGGGGTGGGATGAGACATGAATTGGCTATACTACTATGAAACATGCACTTAGCTGGGGTGGAGGCAGATATTGGTTATACTACTGTGAAACATGCACTTAGTTGGGGTGGGATGAGACATAAATTGGTTATACTACAGTGAAACATGAACTTAGTTGGGGTGGGATGAGACATAAATTGGTTATACTACAGTGAAACATGAACTTAGTTGGGGTGGGATGAGACATAAATTGGTTATACTACAGTGAAACATGAACTTAGTTGGGGTGGGATGAGACATAAATTGGTTATACTACAGTGAAACATGAACTTAGTTGGGGTGGGATGAGACATAAATTGGTTATACTACAGTGAAACATGAACTTAGTTGGGGTGGGATGAGACATAAATTGGTTATACTACAGTGAAACATGAACTTAGTTGGGGTGGGATGAGACATAAATTGGTTATACTACTGTGAAACATGAACTTAGTTGGGGTGGGATGAGACAGAAATTGGTAAAACTACTATGAAACATGCACTTAGTTGGGGTGGGATGAGACTTAATTGGTAAAACTACTGTGAAACATGCACTTAGCTGGAGTGGGATGAGACAGAAATTGGTAAAACTACTGTGAAACATGCACTTAGTTGGGGTGGGATGAGAGAGAAATTGGTAAAACTACTATGAAACATGCACTTAGTTGGGGTGGGATGAGAGAGAAATTGGTTATTCTACTGTGAAACATGCACTTAGTTGGGGTGGGATGAGACAGAAATTAGTAAAACTACTGTGAAACATACACTTAGTTGGGGTGGGATGAGACAGAAATTGGTAAAACTACTGTGAAACATGCACTTAGTTGGGGTGGGATGAGAGAGAAATTGGTAAAACTACTATGAAACATGCACTTAGTTGGGGTGGGATGAGACAGAAATTGGTTATACTACAGTGAAACATGCACTATATAGTGGTTAAATTATAATCAAGAGTCACAAATAATGTGACCGATGGGTATTTAGTACAAAGGGAGGTTATCATACATCATACCCTCCATGACGGATGAACTAGTTCGGACAGTGGTGTTTCCCCCTGAGGGGGATGACACACTAATGCCCTCTAGTGGCTGAGGGGTTTGTGAAACACTTTGGGGATCCAGCTCCAACTCTGTATCTGTAGTTGTAAGGTGTACACAAAACATAAGTGACAATAAAACAAAACAGCATTCAAACATGTTTAAGTACTTAAACAACGCAAACATGAAGCAAAAATAACAAGAACCCAATGGGCTTGCATCGTTCACCTTGTATTAATCTCACAATTGTAACCTTAAAGTGGACAAAAATCTATGACTGTAAGTCATTCAAAAGAACCTGTTGAAAGATTTAAACATATTTGACCCCCGTTACCTTGAAAGTCTAACAAGGTCATTAAGTTGATTTTACTTTATAGCCCTTTATCTCCGCATGCAACTAGCCAAATATCACCACCCTAGATATTGTGTTTATTGAGATTAGGAAATATAAAGATTAACATTCTTTTGGCCATATGTGACCTTGACATTAGGTCAAGATGATTCACATGAACAAACTTGATAGGTCATCATCTGAGCACGCTACTGGCAAAATATAACCACCCTATGTTGTTTGGTTATTCCGAAGAAGTTGTTTAAAAGTTTACAACGTATCTGACCTCTGTGACCTGGATGAAACTTTTCAAAAAATCAATTTCATTCAAGAAAACCTGTTATAAGATTCAATACATTTGACCCCTGTGATCAAATAAGGTCATTATGTTGAACAAACTTGATAACCCTTCATTTCAGCAGGCAACTTGCCAAATATGACCACCCTAGAACTTGTTCCTAAGACCTAATTGTTTGTAGGACCTAAATGTTTCTAAGACCTAATTGTGTGAAGGACCTAAATATTTCTAAGACCTAATTGTTTCTAGAACATAAATATTTCTAAGACCTAATTGTGTGAAGGACCTAACTGTTTCTAAGACCTAACTGTTTCTAAGACCTAATTGTGTGAAGGACCTAATAGTTTCTAAGACCTAACTGTTTCTATGAACTAATTGTTTCTATGAACTAACTGTTTCTAAGACCTAACTGTTTGTGAACGTAAATGTTTCTAAGACCTAAATGTTTGTAAGACCTAAATGTTTCTAAGACCTAATTGTTTGTAGGACGTAAATGTTTTTAGGACGTAAATGTTTCTAGGACGTAAATGTTTGTAAGACCTACTTGTTTGTAAAACCTAATCATGTTTCTAAGACCTAATTGTTGTTTCTAAGACCTAATAATTTCTAAGATCTAAATATTTGTAAGACCTACTTGTTTGTAAGACCTAAGTGTTGTTTGTTATACCTTATTTTTAGACTGAACTGTTGTTTGTAAGACCTAATTGTTTGTATGACCTAAATGTTGTTTGTAAGACCTAAATGTTGTTTGTAAGACCTAATTGTTTGTAAGACCTAAATGTTGTTTGTAATACCTAATTGTTTGTAAGACCTACTTGTTGTTTGTTAGACCTAATTGTTGTTTGTAAGACTTAACTGTTGTTTGTAAGACCTAATTGATTTTAGTTTTTTTAGACCTAATTGCAAAGATTTTTAAAACTTCACATTCAAGTATATTTTGCACAGCATGTCTAGTTTGATGTAGAATGAAAAAAGATAAATCAAGTTACCTACCTGATTTCTTCACGTCTGGAGAGTCTTCCTTCTTTCCTTCTTCATCCTCTTCACAAACAAAACAAACAAGGTTTAATTCTCCTATACAAAGGAATCAACCTTCCTGAGGTAGAAACAGGCAGATCGCTGGATATACATATAAACGTAGTTGTGTTGAAATAAGGTTTTATTCATAAATTTTGTGTCCTTAATATTTTGATATAATTCATTAACAGGAGTTAGATTTGTCTGATAAACACTGTTTGAGGAACACTTATTTTTGAATCAGTTAAATAGAAACATAAATACACAGGTATAGGGTTTTTGAAATAACACTTATACCTTGTTTCAATTCTGAAGATTTCATCCTGTTTCAACATCTTTTGAAAATATGACTTTGAAATTAAAATATAAGTACAAATATTCAAACAAAATATTTACCAGAAAGTAAAAAATGATTTATATGAATGAGAATTAAATGGGAAAAAAATGAAAAAAAAAATGAGGTGGTTTTTTTTCTGTCTGACCCATGTTTGTTATTACCATAGAGACTGTCTCCTGACATAACACCCTCCAGTAGCTCCTGTATCCTCCGGTCAGCTTCAGACATTTTCCTAAAAATGCAAACCAAAAACTTACCTCAAAATAACATATTAAACATAGGCATATGGAGGCTTTTAATTCATTTTTTTTTTAAATCTTACAAAATAAATAAATTGTCCCAAAACTTGTTGAAGCATGTCTGAATATAGTGTTCCAAAAACTCATGAAAGCAATTTTTCATAAAATGTTTCCAGCCCCTTTAATTTGCAATGCACTTTCCTCACAAATAAAAGTTAAAAATAGCATGTATCACAAAACCAGTGACTTACAATGCAAACAGAGTACATAACAATCAGGTCATCAATAATGTCTGAAATCTCTTGAAACAAAGAAATCTAAAATCTCCTTTGTCATCAGACCTTTACAAAATGTCTTAATCATTCAACCACACAATGTTTAAATCTCCAACCTATCTTGGACTCACACGACTAAATCAGCCAATCAGCAAGTGTTTCATATGATTGTAATCCCTACCTAAACTTTGTTCCCATTAAATACAGTGCCTCAGAGTAATTGAATCGGTAATAGTTGACATATTTTTTATTGAATGAAATCTACCGAAATTTAACTTGATAAAAACGTCTAGTTTTGGTAGATTTTGATATGTGGTGGGCAGATTGATATAGGGTCAGAAGTCGGGGGGTGTTGTTGTCCTGCTACACTGGTTCAGGTTGGAATCTATGAATCTAGTTGTCACTAGTGTTAAAGCTATTAACTCAAAAACTAAGTAAAAACATTTAGTAAATGATGGAGTTGTTGGAGTCCTTTATCAGCATCTAAAACGAAACCAAAATAATTCAGAATAATAAGCCAGACATTGAGTAGCTCCTACTGTAAATATTTCACAAGTGAGAAGAACAAATTAATCCCAAAACCTGTGCAATCTGACTAAGTCTGGAGGTGTTGGTGTCGTGCTTTATATACCACCTATCACAACACCTTCTTTCCACACACCTTTGCCCTGAATGGGCCCGGAGCGAAGCAATGATCTCATCTACTGTTCTCTCTACCCTTGGTTTGACCTCTGTCTCATCTTCCTTCTCTTTCATCTTTCCCTTTGCTTTGTCTGAAATCACAAAAGTTATCTCCCTTGTGTCAACATTTTTCAGTCACTTCAGTAGCTTTTTGTTATTTCAGCTCTTAAGAGCCTTTTGCACAACATAATAACATATATAAACAAGAGGCACAGAGGGCCTGTATCGCGGGCCTGTATCGCTCACCTGGATAATAAAGCAACCATGGGAAATTATTCTTATTACAAAAAATCCCTCGATTAGTACAGAAGAAGGATTTTAAAGAATTAAACCTCAAATTTCCCTATTGGGCCCTGTTACTCTGAACCCAGAAGCAACACCCTCTGCTTATACAAAATTTAGTCCCCTTTGACTAGCGAGTCCTTGTTGTCCAAGGATGCTCAAGACTAAATTAGGATAAAATCCCTCTATCCCTATGGTAGAATAAGGATTTTAAAGGTTTAACCACATTTCCCTATTGGGCCCTGCATCTCTGGCCCCAGGGGGTCCAAACCCACCATTTATACAAAATTGAGTGCCCTTGGCCCAAGGATGCTCCAGACCAAATTTAGTCAAAATCTACCCGGCCGTTCAGGACTAGTAGGGTTTTAAAGGAAAAGTTGACGGACGGACGGACGGACAGACGACAGACGCTGCGGTATGGCATAAGCCACTTGTCCTTCCGACCAGGTGAGCTAAAAATACCAGTCACATTATATGAGGTCAAGTCTGTATTTGAGATCTGTGGCTGAACTTACTGCTGGACAAATTTTAAACTTTATACACTCAGTATTTGACCTCTTTGTATATAAGAAATTTGAAGAGCTGTAATTTTCAGTAATTGTATTAATGCAATTTTGCTGCCAAAAAAACAACAAAAAACAAAAAAACAAAAATTAAAGAAGACCCAATAAATCTTACATATAGGTATCATGTTTCCGTCTGTATTAATCACCTAAATTTATAAACCTTATACTTCTGTCGCTGTACATGACTCTGAAAATGCAAAAGATAAACAGAACTTGTTCTAAAATCAATAAGGTTATTTTCACGAGAATTAGTTTGCAACCAGTACATGACTATAAATACAGATTTTATTCATTGTATTCATTTTAACAAATACACAAATAACGTGTTGCTATCCCTACTTACAGCCATCCCTTTGCTAACATCACTTAGATATTTGGATCTAACCAAATGAAGAACTTTACAGTTATATTATACAAGAGGCCCATAGGGCTTGTATTGCTCTCCTGGATCTTTATGTCCAGCAATGGTATATATGGCTATCGGTTCAGGACCTCAACCATTTCAAAGTTATGGCCCAGAAATTAAGTCCCTATGGCAAGGGGTGGGGCCAGATACAAGAGTAATATCATGATTGTGTTCATCTCCTGATGTCCAGGTATGATATATATGGATATGGATATGGGGTGGGGATCTCGCCTATTTCAAAGTTATGACAAAATAGTTAAGTCCAAAGGAATGGGACCAGACCCCAGAGTCAATTATTGAATATGACTGTGTTTATCTTTTTATGTCTATCAAATATGTATATGATTATCGGATGGGGATCTCAATCGTTTAAAAGTAATGGCTCAGGAATTAAGTCTGTAGGGGTAGGTCCAGACCACAGGGTCAATTCTTATATCATGATTGTGTTCGTTTCTTGATGCTCAGCAATTGTTAACAGGGTTATAGGGTGGGGATCTCGATAATGTCCAAAAATTCTTTTTGGCACCGCCCCTCAGACCCAGCCCTTCAACTGGAACAATTTTAAATCCTCAACACCGATGAATACTCCAATATATGGATGATATTCATCACGTTATTCAAGAGAAGAATTTACCTTAAGCAACATGGTCAAATAACCCCTATAAGGGCCTTGCCTCTCTACCCCCAGGGAGTCCCCTTTGCCCAAAGATACTCTACACTTAATTTGGTTTAAATCCCCCCTATTCATACAAAGGGAGAAGGATTTTAAACAATTTTCCCTATGTTCTCCCAAATGGGCCCTGCCCCCAGGGGAGCCAAACCCTTCGTTTATTCAAAATTTAATTCCCCTTGCCAAAAGATGTTCTAGACTATATTTGGTTCAAATTCTTTCATTTGTACAGAAAGAGAAGAATTTTAAATGATTTACCTAAAAATTCCCCTATATAAGGCCCCGCCCTTTCAGTCCCCAGGGGAGCCACATTCTTCATTTGTACAAAATGTAGTCCCCTTTGCCTCAAAATGCTCTACACCAAATTTGGTTAAATTTCCTTCATTTATACAGAAGGAGAAGGATTTTAAACATTTTCCCCTATGTTCTTCCAAATGGGCCCCGCCCCTCTGCCGCCAGGAGAACCAAATCCTCCGTTTATACAAATGATGTCCTAGACAAAATTGGGTTAAAATCCCTCCAATTGTACAGAGGTAGAAGAATTTTAAAGATTTACCTAGATTTCCCCTTTTGGGCCCCTCCCCTCTGACCCAAGGGGGGGGGACACATTCTCAGCTTATACAAAGTTGAATACTCCTTGACTGAGGATAATCCAGGCCAAATTTAGGTAAAATCCACTAAGCCCTTCAGGACAAGTAACATTTTAAATGAAAAGTTGACGGACAGACGACAGACACTGTGCCATGGCATAAGCTAACTTGCCCTTCGGGCAGGCAAGCTAAAGATATTATAATTCACAATATTTATTCTTTTTCAAGGTAAAAGTGAAAATGTGGAAGATAAAACTAAAAGATGAAAATAATGAAATTGCGAGTTAGATCAGAATATAATGATAATCTTTAGCCATTTAAAGTCTCCTTTAATTAAATCACTTTTGAATTATCTTTATCAATCTTTCTCTTGTCCTGTTATATTTCTCCTACCTTTATCAATCTTTCTCTTGTCCTGTTATATTTCTCCAACCTATATCAATCTTTCTCTTGTCCTGTTATATTTCCCCTACCTTTAGCAGATTTTTTGCCATCTTTTTTTCCCTCCTTCTTCCTTGGGGATTCCTTCTTTTTGCCTGTTTTGTACATCGACTCAGACCCAGGTCTGGATATTCTCCTGGCTTCCTCCAGCAGATCTTTAGATGACTTGGCCTTCAAAAACAGGTTAATGTGAAGTGAACTACATCAATATAACCACAGATAATAATTTGTGAACTGCTTTGAGACGACCTACGAACTAGGTTTGTGATAAAGCGGTATATAAGAACCTCAAGTTATTATCATTATTATTAATATGACAGGTTTTCATGTAATAAACAGATTCCTATTAAGGAATGTCTTGACAAGGACAAGATTTATTTAAATACAGGAGACATCAGGAGACATAGAATATCAATAATATGTGGCATTTACAGTTCTGAAGAAGAAATATTTCGAAATATCACCAAATCAACCATTTGATGCCCTTTTTAGAGCACCAATTGCTCATGCAACATTTATTTCAAAATTGTTTTGTCAATAAAAAGGAGGACAGTGACCACAAAAATGTTCTGAAAATCTTAGGTGAGATAACCTTGCAGAAAACACATTAGTGACTGATAAGCGCTTCATCCTACTATATTCCATCTCGTGAAAGTTCCTCGGTATTCCAAGTGCCTTCATATTTATATGGTAAACCAATCACAATAGACCTGATAGACATACCACATTTCACCTGATAGACATACCACATTTCAACTGATAGACATACCACACTTCACCTGATAGATATACCACACTTCACCTGATAGATATACTACATTTCACCTGATAGATATACCACATTTCACCTGATAGACATACCACACTTCACCCAATAGATATACCACATTTCACCTGATAGACATACCAGATTTCACCTGATAGACATACCACACTTCACCCGATAGATATACCACATTTCACCTGATAGACATACCACACTTCACCTGATAGACATACTACACTTCACCTGATAGATATATACCACATTTTGCCTGATAGACATACTACATTTCACCTGATAGACATACCACACTTCACTAATTTGAAAATATCCATTGGAAAGCAATACTGAACTTATAAAGGAAATCTTCATGAACTTACAAATTTCCTTTTATAATGCCGTTTTATGGAAAATTTGTTTTAAGGAAGGTTTTTGAAACTGGGGCCAGTAAACCTACTCTTTAGGAATTGGGAAGAGATTGGTACTGGCCTATATAGATAATCAGCGCTTACATCACGACTGACGGCTCTTTCCTCGCCTTCCTCCTGGGCTTGCATGGCAGTCTGTACATTATCCATGTCTTGGTCAAGGCCAGCAATTACATCATCGTACTGACTGTACACTCCGTCGTCTGGCAGGGAAATGTTTTCACTTTGTAGGGAAGACCGAATACTGGTTGCGCTGTGAGCTGATGGAACAAACAATCAGGTATGTTTAATATTAAAAAAATAACTTTTTTGTGAAAGCAAGATTACAGCAAAATTTTATCATAATAGTTGAACTAGGTAAAAGTCACTTTTTTTCAATTCCTAAGGTTTGTTGTCATTCTGCAGGCTTAGACAAGAGGCCCAAGAAGGCCTGTATTGCTCACCTGAATATTTAAGCAGTCATAGCAAAATATTCTCATTAAATATTATATTGCACTAAAAATATTTCCCTCGCAAACTTTGTTGGCTCCATCTGTTGAAACTACCAGCAAAATATTATTACAAGATTCTATGCTTTTTGATTCTTCAGAAGTTGCTTGACATATTTTTCCCTGTGACCTTGTAAGTAGGTCAATGTCATTTTCCTTCTCAAATTGGT